ACTTCTGTTTGGCCGCATAGACGGGTCTAAACGGGCATGGCACGAGATGGACTGATGCGGTGCGGGAAGATGTGGAGCTGAGTGGACTTGCCAATGACTGGTACCAGCGGTATCCAGATCGGCCTCTGTGGAGGAGGCTCGTGAAGGACGCTGCTGGGCAGTTGGAGGCAGTCGCCCTCCAGCAACAACGAAGAACAGAGGAGCGACGCTCACAACAATGGAGAGCCGGGCGGATAAAATGCAGCAAGTTGACACAGTAGGGGGTGCAGCTGGTGCATCTACCAATCATCTCAGTCAGCCAACTCATGGCACCTGCATGGGTCTGTCCCGAGATCTCCTGTCTGCGAGCCTTCAACACTTCACTTGGCCTCAAAGTGCACCTGGCCTGGCACAAGCGCCGTGGTGACGTCACCGTCACTTCGTAGCGAATGGCGGGTGGTTGGTGTGTTTGGGGGTGTAATGTTTGAGTCAGCGTATGTGTAGGAATGCGTGTGTGGCTGGGTGTATGACAAAGGCGGCCGGGCGTGGTGCTGGCCACCCACCCTATCGTGCGTCGTGCCGACCTTTATTGGTGCTCGCTAACAACACTTGGGGGCCGTCCATAAATGACGTCACGCACCTAGGAGGGGGGCGGTCAGACGTTTGTGACAATGGGTGACGAGAGGGGGGGGGGGGTGAGAAATGTGATGTCACATTAAAATGCGCAATTTTAAATAAATATAGACAACACGTTCTACTTAATTAAGTATACTTTTTAATAAATGTGTTCTCCTACAACATCAGAGTGCAGCGCCACATTAAATACGCACTACAATGACAATAGTTTAAAGCGATTTGAAGCATGTTTTATTTGGGGGGGGGGGGCAGAGCTTTGTGACGTCATATTTGAGGGGGGGGGTCTGACGCCGTGTGACAATGGGGGGGGGGGGTCAAAAATCGTCCAAAATCGCGTGACGTCATTTATGGACGGCCCCTTGCCCCAACAGTCTCCTCAGGCTATACGGATGAGCTATACATTTATGTGTATCGTGATGGAAGTGTGTGCGTGGCTGGTGTGAATAGGGGTGTGCATGTGTCTGTGTGTGTAGCTGGCGGGGTTGGGAGGGTGAATGTGTGACTGTATTGTATGGGAACGGTGGCGCACAGTGGTTAGGGGCCGTCCATAAATGACGTCACGCGAGTTTGGACGATTTTTGACCCCCCCCTCGTCACATGGCGTCCCAAAAAGTCAGACCGCTCCCTCAAATATGACGTCACGAAGCTCTGCCCCCCCCCCCCAAAATAAAACATGCTTAAAATCGCTTTAAACTATTGTCATTGTAGTGCGTGTTTAATGTGGCGCTGCACTCTGATGATGTAGGAGAAAACATTTATTAAAAAGTCTATTTAATTAAGTAGAACGTGTTGTCTATATGTATTTAAAGATGCGCATTTTGATGTGACGTCACATTTCTCACCCCACCCCCTCGTCACAAATGTCCGACCCCCCCACCCCCCCTAGGTGCGTGACGTCATTTATGGACGGCCCCTTAGTGCGCTCCGCTACAAACTCGGTGACCCAAGTTCGATTCCCGCTGCACACCAAGAAATGACAAATATCTGAACTAGTTCTGGGCTTCCCGACTCTGCCTTAAATGAGTACCTGGTGCGGTGTGTAGGCATTAGAATTGGGGAGACAAAGGCGGTCGAGCGTGGTTGTTAGTCACCCACCCACCTCAAATGTGTACCATTCCGCCAGTCACACCTGCTCGCTAACAGCACTTGCCCTCACAGCCTGTCCCAAGGTGTTCTTGACTGACGATTGTTGTCACGGTGTGGATGGAGGTGTGCGCGTGTGTTGGGGCCACGTGGCGGTCACTTCCAGGGAGCGGTGGTGCAGTGGTTGGCGCACTGCGCTGGGATCTCGGCCAGCTGGACTCCACAACAGTGTCGAGCAAAATCTCGAGATCTACCCCGAGTTCCAGCCAATGTTGATTCGGCTTTAAACGAGTACCTGGCGCAGCGTGTAAACATTAACCACCGTCTTTCACCCGTGCTCTCTCACGGTCATAGTCGGTGCCTGGCAGCAGCGCACTGGCCCCAACATTCTTCACAGACCACGCAAGGGATCATATTCTTGGGTTTTTTCGGTAAAGTCACGTAGGTAAAAATTTTCAAATTAATAAAAGTTAAATACAAATAAAATAAAAATCACGACGTTTCGGAGGCAACACAAGCTTCCGTCTTCAGGTGGAACCGTCACAGCCCGCTTGCTGTATCAAGTGAATGAGGAAGGGATGTGTGTGGCTGGTGGGGAGGGGGGTGCGGGTCTGTGGAGATGGTGGAGGAGGGTGTGAGTGTGTGGGGATGATGGACATCGGAGGTAATCGTTGGTGAGGAAGGGTTGTGTGTGTGTGGATGTCTTTGTGGGGAGCGGTAGCGTCGTGGTTAGCACGCTGTGCTGCGAATACGGCGGCCCGAGTTAGATTCCCGCTCACGGCCAATAACAAAGACGATTATCTGAACCGGTTCTGGGTCTCCCCCGTGTCGACTCAGCCTTAAATGAGCACCTGGTACGGTGGGTAAACGCCAACATTGAGTAGACAATGCGGCTGGACATGCTATTGGCCACCCACCCAACACCTTGTGACGTGACGGCCTTCATCATAGGTGTTCGCTTGCAGCACTTGCCCCAACAATCTGTGAGGACTGTATGGGGCTCTTTGTCTTCTGTGTGTTGGGCTGGCGACGTGTGTGTAATATGCTAAACAGTTGGATAATAGTGTGTGTGTGGTGGTGGGGGGCTTGGTGGTGCTTTCCCGGTCTTCATAGGTGCTGCTCGCTGACAGCGCTTGCTTCACCAGTCTGTGAAGACTACACGAGGGAATATTTGTCTTTGGGTTGCTTTGTGGTGACGGGGGGGGGGGGGTGTTGTCATCGTGGGGAGCGCGGGGGGAGTTGGACAGCACCATCATCACCATCACGCGCTTCGTTTACAGCCTGGTCACGTTACGTCGCCCAGGCAAAGTTACGGGTTCGTTATCCAGTCCGGTCCAGTTCTGCATGGTCATGCGGATACAAACAGAACCCGGGGAGGTCTCCTTGAAGTCTGGAATTGTGCAAATGTAGCAACAGAAACCTTTCCACTTTGGCAGGGCATTGCATTCCTCGAGATCACGTGGCGTGTCCCGGCTCCCCGCTGACATTGCTCATCAATGGCAGTGAGAAGTTCAATGGCGTTGCCGTCAATGCTGGCTCGTAACTCATGGTTTGACAGGTGACAAGGGAATATCAACGTTGTGAGCATCGCTGCTGTTAGGTGGATGGAGTTGAGTGCACATGCGGCACGTTTATAGGTACACCCAAACAAGCACACATATGTACGTATGTTGAACTCCTTTCGCACAGTAAATAGCCACATTTTAAAAGCTATGGTGAAAACAAGTCATGGATACTACTTTTTTTTGGCGTCATCTGGTCCAACACCAATGGAGACGAGGCTCTAAGAAAAGCTGTCTCGGGTGTGGACCAATCAACTTCAAGGACAGTGCATATCATTATAGAGTTGTTTCTTTGTGTTTGCATTTTGACTGCTTGTGTTGTGGTTATTGCAAACATGATCCCTTGTATAAAGGTGTCAGTTTTGTACCAGTTGAAAGGGTAAAACCTATTACTATAAGTAATGGATAATTCGTTTAAGCCCAACAAAGGAAAACCCGAATTAATTTTTGATTTAGCAAATCCATCCCTGGAGCAAAGAGCGATGCCGTGCGAGGCTGTGGTGCTCTAACATCCATTACGATCTATATAGTATTGGCTGCAAAAACCTATTCGCGAAGTTCACATCAGAGCTCAATGTTGTAGTAAACATGCTCCCCGCAATCCCGCCGCACAGAGCTATTGCAAGACAGCCTTGCCCATCACTCAGCGGTGAGCAGAGCAAAGCCATTGGCAAGGCGAGTGCACAAAGGGAGTTGATCCATCTCACCACGCGTCGTACACAATAGGGCTGAACGATTTGGGGAAAAGATCTAATTGCGATTTTTCAGACAGATATTGCGATTTGATTTGCGACTGAATTTTTTAAAAGTCAAGCTTCAGTTCAATATTCACTGTGTATAGACTTAATACATGTGATGGAGCATTACCACGTGATACCATCAAAATATGAACTGCATATATATTCTAATGCAAGGATGAGAACTTAAAATAGATGAATTGCTTCCAACGTGTATTTATTAAAATGTTTTAATTGAAATAGAACAATAAAACATAGAACAATTGTTAAGTTAAACAATTAAAGTTATAATAATGAAAAATTAAACAATTCCAATAAGAAAGTAATAGGACTTTTCAAATTGCAAAAAATCGCAGTCTTTGAGATTTGCTAATCGTATTGTTTAATTCTCGATTTGAAGTTTTCGTGACTGCAAGGATTCATGCTCTTTGTTTTTTTCGGTAAAGTCACGTAGGTTAAAAATGTAAATAAATTAAATCACGACGTGATTGAATTTATTTTAATTTGTAATTTATTTTATTATAATTTTTTACCCTACGTGACTTTACCGAAAAAACCAAAGAGTACGTATTGTTTCAAATTGCGTTTTCGATTTGAAATCAATTAATCGTTCAGCCCTAAATCCACAACCGGCGATCACTACTAAGAGTTCGCCCAGAGGACAGAACGGTTGCCAGTTTCGCTGTGAACAGAACGTCATTGCCTGCGCACATCACGATTGAATAAATCAAATAGTTTCCTTGATGCAGTGTCCGTCTATATATACACACACGTGAACACACGCGCTAAACACATTGGCAAACGCACAGACGTGTGGGTCAATGGAAAGGTGAAAATCTTTTGGTAAGACAATCCTCGAAGGCACGTGGTTCTCAGTTTCCACCTTGACAGCCGCTGAGGGTTACTGGCGGTCATGCACGCCGGGTCCAATGAGCGCTCCGCTTTCAGGGGTGTGTGTGCTATAAATTATGCTAATTTATCACACCACACGCTAGCAGTCCCCAGGGAGGCGCTACTTAAAGTTAACACAGAGAGCCCACAGACTTCAATAGACCGGTTGGCGCTAACAGCTGACGGTTGAAGCGGACAAACTTGAATTGTGTTAGGATAAAAACGCACACACACACAGAGCCACGGGCTAAAATCCACAGCCGTATAAGTTTGCAGATATTTATCGTTTACTTTTTTATTTATACGTGCTTTTATTATTTCGCGAAGCACTTCGTTACAAAGTGAATTTTAGTTTTTTTTAACAACACCACATTCATTCACAGCAGCAGCAGCGCCGGCAGCGTCGCCTTAAACGTTTCGACTGCACTTGGGGGGTGAGCAGAAGATGAACTCCTGGCTGAGAGCAGTCGCTATCGTGTGGATCTGCGTTGCGTCTCTGGGCACACGAGGCCTGGCCCACAATGACACCGTGCAGAGATCGCTGGCACCAGGTGAGCGCATGGGGAAGCGGTCTCATCCGTACACCGAGAATTTTAAAAAATGATTTTTTTTGTTACAAAGAAATACAAAAAATAATTCCGTGACGAGTGTTGTTGTCAATCCATCTGTGCAGAATTTTCTGGGGCGTTACTCCCTCGTGGGTGGTGGGTTCTTGCTCCGGGTAGTCAAAAGTTTCATCTCAAACGAAGCGAAATATTTTATTAAAAATGAAATGACTAAATGTCAAAAGACCGAATGAGACCTTGCTCGATAAACTGATCATCATCATTATTGTTGCTGTTGCTGCAATCTGCTGTTGCTACATTCACTCTCACAAGCAACCTTCCATGCAACGTTGTATCTCCGTGTTCGTTAGATTTGTGTTAACCGTTGCCCATTGAAGTAATGGAAGGCGATAACTTTGTCAAGTGCCACGATGCATATTCAAATGAGACTTTAAGCGATCAGACACGCCTGAACACACACACGCGTATGTGGCTTGGGACACTCGGAAGCAGCTGGCACACACACAGATGATATACGAGAGCATTAAATCGCGTCTGGCCATTTGGTAGCACCGGAGTTTATTAATCTCTGAAGCTTTAGAGCTTTTACCAAGTGTGGCTTAAGGAGTTGGAATGTGCAGTAACCGCGCAACTGTTACGATACCCAGCAAGTCTGAACGCATCCCCATCCGGAGCAGTCGGTCCAACAGGGAGCCATCCTCATGCTCCGAGTAAGAGTTGCTGCAACCTCCAGTTGTGCTCGGCCATGATTCCGTGAGGACTGTAATGACGACCAATGGACTCCTCTAAACAGACGGCATGGACATTAACTTGAGTTTTGAAAGCTTCTCTTTGGTGAATCCGACGTGTGTTGCGCCCACGTTTATGGACTATTTTGAATCTGGCTCTCACATTCCCTCCAAACCTCGTGGAATGTGAGCGATCCAAAACACGCAAGGCTATCAGAGAGTTTGGAAACAAATCAAACCATACGATGATAGAATGACAAATCACAACTGTGCGCAGACAGGCCAACATCACACTTTTTGTACTGCCCAAAACAGAAACCACACCCGGTCTTTGCAGGTTTGTGTTGTGTGTACGAAATCTCAACACGATACACCAACTCCACTATCAAGTGGCTCGATTTCAGGATCCAGTTTGCTATCTGAACCGGTCCTGGGCTTCCCCTAGGTTGACTCGGCCTCAAATGAGTACCTGGTGCAGTGTGAACATTAGCACTGGGGAAACAAAGGCGGCCGGGCGTGGTGTTTGCCATCCACCCCTTTCGTGTGCCCTTCCGACCTTCACAGGTGCTCGCTTACAGCACTTGCCCCAACAGTCTGGAAAAAAAGTCTGCACGGGGGATCTTTGTCTTTGTGCTTAGGTGCGAGCTTCACTCTCAAGAGGTCACGAGAGTTGACGCCAGGATAACCGAGTGCACCTGGTCGCCACCTCTTAAGATTGCTGCGCCATTGCAATAATCTTCGTGACCCTTGGTTTATTACGAGCCGCAGTGGCGAAAACCGCTTTTTATTTTGTGGCCGTAGAAATGGCTGTCATATCTACGCTTGACCCCGTGGTCTCCGGTAGACGAGCCCTGAAGGTTGTGCGACTGTAAAGAGTAAATAGCCACCATCAAGTTGGGGTCATTGGCCCGGACTGTTTGACCAGGCCCTCAAGAGCTTCCTTTGTGGACGCCTCGTGTTGGCTTTGTTCACGGTCAAACGTGAGGTCCGCGAGCGGTTACGCCGCCGCCCCCTCGCTCAATTTGCTCGCCGCGCCTTCTCAGCAGTTTCAAGTCAACTCACGTGGCACGGGATGCCACCCCGTGCCCTGTGGTGGTGGTGGTGGCAGCAGTTCAGTTTCAGTTTTCATTTATTTGGTATAGCCCTGTGAGCCATTCGGTTCTTTAATCGGGTGCAACCGCAACAAACAAAACACTAAAACATGAAACAAAAACATGAACAAGAAAGCATCTTAAAGTGACTATGTGAGTATGTTCAAACAGAACGTCCACGGAAATCTTTAGTAAAAGGCGAAAGATTGATTCGCTTTGAAGAGAAACCAGAGATTGAAGAGAAACCAGAGATTGATGCCAGGAGCTGTCACCGTCACCGCTGTGGTATCGCCCTGGATCAGCCGGTCGCGACAAATTTAGTACAGGCCGTCAGATAGGTCTCAAATTTGTGTGGCCACAAGTGAACATTTCATGCCCTTTCCGATCGATATGTAATACATTTGATGTATTTGACCATAGCTGTATCCTTTATAAACACTGATTATTTTACCCACATCTCAAAAAAGAGACTGTTAGTGTCAATGAGCTCATATCTAGTTATAATGTTTTATTATTACATTATTTCGACTTTGTTTGACGAGCTTCTGGTAACTTCAGTAGGTGCCCCAAGACGCCGAATGAAACCCATCCCCACGATATTCGAGATTCAAAAGGATAAACTTTCAAAACTGGGAGGGCCGCATTCCGACGATGACACAGAGCTCACGGGGACAGGGCCAACGAGAGGATCCCATTGGGCCACTAATGGCTGGAGGGGGCGGGCATCCACTTCCCAAGGGGGGGGGTGGTTAAACTTTTTCTCCACGACCGAGTACGCATGCCCATTGTCTCACCTTCGCAGCGCCGGGTGAAGTGCTGCCGAACGCTTGACCTCCCGTAACCCTCATTTTGAGGGCCGTAATGCGGTGCCACAGAGTTCCCATGACCTCTGTAAAATAGCCGCCCGCTTCACAGTTTCCTTCCGCTGTCCTTAGCTCTGATTTCATTGTGAAGCACCTCTCTGTGTGAAGTAACCTGGTCACTCGTTGATCGTCGGCACACTCACTCATCTACGTATGAACTGTCGTTAGTCTTCGAGTCGTTTTGGGCTGTTGGGGCATGACCATTGCCCTTCACCGATATCTCCTTGCCAGTTGACTTTCAATCGTGGTGGCTTTCGTCCCGACCAACGTTTTGATGTTTGAATTTATAAAATTGGTTTTTATTTTTTATATTATTGGTTCTTTTGGTAAAGTCACGTAGAAGGGAAATAATAAAAATAAAACAATAAAATTCTCACGACGTTTCGATTGCAACACAAGCAATCATCATCCGGAGTGAAAACCACAGCAAAGAAAAATTAAAATTGGTTTTGTTCATTATATCAACATGCGGTTTGTTACATGTTACTTTTACTGCTATTAATTTACCTTTTTTTACTATTTACGCACACTTACAATAAAAAATATAACTGAATGGAAAAACCTAGTGATTATAAAGAAACGTTTCATAAATCACATGTCCTATCACATTCGGGGGGGGGGGGGGGGGGCTGCATCGCTATTCTGCACCCTCCCATCTTGGTGCCCCCTCTACCGAGAGCCAGCACCTTGGCGGCTACGCATGTGTACCCCAGGGGGAAGACGCCTCAGCCTGGATTGTTGTGGCGCTGGCATCACCACCCCACAACCATCTGGGGCACCAGCCGCCACTGCTCTCTTCGTGTGCCACAATTCGGCTATACATTCGGGCGACCGCCCCTCCTCGGGTGGGGTGCCGGGGACAGCCGCCCCCCCCCCCGCTGCCCTTGCTACGGTGCTGCCCAGAGCTTCCCCCTGTTATGAACGCCCGCTTTTAGCCAGTGGCTTTGCCCCCGCCGCCGCCCGTCGGTGACGATCGACCCCGTGCTGCGCGCAGGCACGGCGGAGCCCCAGCTGGAATCCATCAGGAGCCGGTTCCAGTTGAGAAGCGCGGACGAACCGGAGGGCCCAGGTTGCCAGCTGGTGCCAGGACAGCCCGAGTCGCTCACTCAATGCAGATTCCAGCCCAGCGCCAAAACCTTCCTCATCATCCACGGCTGGACGGTAAGAAGTGCAACGCCTGGAGTGCTCGCCCCACTCCGGCAGCATGCACACCAGTACACTTGCACGCACGGGCAGGCCTGAGCCAGGTCAGTACTTGGATTGGAGGCTTCCCCGGAGACATCAGAATGTTGCACAGTTGGCCCTGCGAGATGGCCAGTACAGAAACGGGAACTTGAATCCACCTGTGTGGGACTTGGGTTTGGCCCCTTTGCCAGTTGGTGAGTTTCACCCCGGTTGATGAGCTCTTGAGAAGAATGTATGATAAAAAAAAGCAGATCTTATTGCTACTCGCTTTGTTTAGCGTTGAACATTTGTCTGAAGTTTATTTCACATTGACTGCGTCGTACCCCTCGAGAATTAGACGATAATCGTGTGAGTTCAACCCTGGTTGGGGTGGTTGACTCAGCCAATCATCCCTCTCCGGTAAATAATTGGAGCACCGCTTTTGCGGGAGAAGTCCACAGCGATCGTCCTACGTATCGATGTGGAATTTACACCACTCGCTCAGTGCTTTAAATAGGAGATGCCGCACCAATGCCGCAATATGGCACTTGGGCAAGACATCACTTTGACTTTGAATGTATACAATAAAGCAAGAGAATTCCACCACCATTCCAAATCGTTTTCTGTGCAACACCGGTCGGAGCCTTTGCCAAACTGTTCCTCTAAATGCCACCGACATATCCCAAACGCCCCTCGCGTGCCTCCCTGCGCAGCTCAGCGGCATGTTCGAGGGCTGGATCAGCAAGATGGTGAGCGCGCTGCACGCGCGCGAGAACACCGCCAACATTGTGGTGCTGGACTGGCTGGACCGCGCCCACCAGCACTACCCCGTGGCGGCCGCCAACACGCGCGTCGTGGGTCGCGACGTCGCCATCTTCCTCGAATGGCTCGAGGTAAGGAGCGACGGCGGAGCTTGTTGGGTGTGCAGGCGGTGCAACTGCTCCTGGGTCGATAGGACAGATGGGCCCGGCACCCGGCTATGAAGAGAGGGGAGGAGGTGGAAGAATTGGCGACGAGGGGGGGGGGGAATTTTGTTCCTTGAGTCTAAATTCCACGACTTGCCAATGTCTCCTTGCCTGGTATACAGGAGGTCGTGGGTTCAATCCCGACAAAGACACCTGTATATTTGGAGTTTGCATGTTGTCCCCGTGGTCACGTGGATTTTTGTCCGGATCCTCCGGTGTTTCCCTCCACATTTATAAACATGCGTTGAGAGAATTTGGCTGCTATAAAATTCCACGTGATTCCACTTCGTTGAGCTATCATTTGTGGCCAGGTCGCTTCTGAAAAAGAGCTACGTAGCTCAGTGGGCCCTAACTAGTAAAATAAAACGCCTCTCTCCATATGTCAGTCCATGGGTTTCTGTGCGAGTCTGTGAGTCTCTGTAAGTTTACAGGTGTCTCGTTGAGTCAATAGGTCTCTATGTTATCCTACAAATCTCCATGCGAGTCGATTATTGAATCACCCCCCAACCTCTGTCCACTCAGCATTATAAATAGCGACACCACAGTCAATCGGCAGATTGTCATACGGTGGTGCGGTAAAGTGTTGGTAACTCCCACCTTTTCCAAGAGGTCCGGCCAGTGTTGGAAGAGTAGGCCAATATGGCACCCTGAGAGGGGCTCTCAGTTTAGCGGAGGCCCTTCCGCCAGCAGTGGCATGACCGAGCGCTTGCAGTGTTGTGCCCGTTTTGGTGTTACCGCACCCCGTACTTTGAACTTCTTGGGCGGAGTGCGTAGCCGACCGCGCTAATCGGAGGTTTCCCGTGTGCGCGATGTGGGCGGCAGGAGGCCTCCAACCACCCGCTGGAGAACGTCCACCTCATCGGCTACAGCCTGGGCGCGCACGCTGCTGGGTTCGCCGGGGAGCACATGAGGAACCCCGCGAGGCTGGGGCGTATCACGGGTGAGTGCGCTCCCGGCCACGGCACGGCTCGCTCGCACGCACGCACACCTCGCCCCGCAGACGTCAAAAACTCAACGGAGAGTGATAGACGAACCAGAAACGAGCCGACAGTTCGCCTCCTTCATCTGTCACTCCATATCATAAACAAAATACAAGTACACAAAAAAAACTCGATTATGGACCTCTATTATGGACACATATATGTGTTTACATATCCCATCAGCATCACGGCCTTCTGGGAAGTGATTTATTTTTTAATCTGCAGCATTGGTTTAATACAAGCACAACCTTGTACTGATATCGATATCCAATGTGTTGCACAGTACATAGCCAACCGTGCTAATCGGAGGTGTGCGGGGAAGGACAACAAACTAAACATAAAAAGCAGTTCTCAAGAAATTAGTTTGCTGATCGAGAAAAGGGCCTATGAGAGGTCTGGTACATGTGACCGGTTGGATCGCGGGGTACAGTTGGGATCAGTGGGATGACGAGTGCTAGTGGCTGTTTGGCCAGAGTGATGGTCAAACAGATGGCGAGTACTCGTGGCTGGCGAGCTAGTTTGTTATTGGTTCTCAAATACAGCTAATGATAGTGGCTGGCTGGGAAGCTGGTCAGGTGTAAAGGTAGAGAGAGCTAATAGTAGTGGCCGGTTAGCTTATTATGGTTAGCAGGAGAGCTAGTGTTAGTAGCTAGCTGGTTTGGATCAGGGCTCGTATGTTTGCTAAGTGTGTGCAAACTTCAGTCGTCCGCCCCACTGCAATGCACGTCTTCTTCAATGTTTGTCTGCGAGTCTGCACATGTTGAACGGCCATTGCCATGCAGATGTATTGGATTCCACGGTGCCAAGTTTAGCCTTGGGCTAACAAACACCATGTGGAGTATCAATGTTTCATGGCGCTCTGAAGCGTGCTTGGATTTATACAAAACAATCCACTTTGGAGTTATGTAGCGGTGTCTAAATGTGACCGCATCTCAAGAGAGTGTACAGAAAAACATTGGGCCTGACTTATAATACACAGAGAGAGAGGCATTCATTCAGTCGTGGGCGTAAGAATAGCAAGGGAGACCTTGAGACTGGAATGGAACAGGGGCAGGGAGTCGACAGCACGGATGACTGTGGGAAGGGAGTTGCAGACACTGGCGGCTGCAGAGGAGAAAGAACGACCTCCCACTGAGGGCTTCGACAGAAAGCCTTGGTTACTTGGGCGGAGAGTGCGTGGGCTGGAGTGGAGTGAAATGATAAGGGAGAGGGTAGGCAGGGGCATGAGAGACGGCGACCATGTTTGATGATAACGATGATGACCTCTGATTATCATGGTTTGCTACGGACCGCGCGAAAGAAGTTCAACATGCATACGCGCAAATGATGACGACGTTGGATTGAGCGTGCGTTGTTGCCGCGTACCCCCCCCCCCCTGTAGGGCTCGACCCGGCAGGCCCCACGTTCGAGGGCCGCGAGTCTGCCGAGCGCCTCTCCCCCGAGGACGCGGGCTTCGTGGACGTGCTGCACACGCACACGCGCGGCTCGCCGGGCCTCAGCATCGGCATCAAGCAGCCCGTGGGACACCTCGACGTCTACCCCAACGGTGGCAGCAACCAGCCGGGCTGCGACATCCGTGACGTGTTTGGGGGATTGGCGTCAAACGGCCTCTTGAGTAAGGGGAGCGACGTTTGCCACATTTTGTGGCCGGTTTTGTAAAATCAGTGATTTTTGTCTCCCGGATCCAATTACTTTTTGAGTTCGGCCTAGCGGTAAAATGTTGTCGCAATTCGAGCGGCTTTCACTGCCGAGCACGTGACGCGAGTGCGTATTGAGGATCCTGCATTAGTGTACTGCGCGAAATGCTTGCCACGTTTTCCAGTGACAATTTTTGACGACTTCGGAAGGTCTATCTAGTGACTCTTTTGGCGTTTTTTGGTGACTTGGCGTGAAGGCTGTCACGGACTAGCTCTGGCTAACGGAGCTTAGCCCACGGAATCCTCTTCGCTGGCTTATGTTATTCAAATGCAACACGACCTATGCAGCAAAGCCTCTTGGAGCCGGACTCGGCTAGAGAACGCAAGGCCAGCGCTAGCAGAGTACGTGGCAGACCGACATGATCAGCGTGAACCCGCGCCCTCGGATGAATCGGTCTTTGCCACAACCCTCCACGAGTTGCAAACTTGTGCCCTCTTGTTTTTGAGACGATGAATTTAAAAAGAAAAGAAACCAATCAGGACAAAATATTTACCGCCTTCCACAATCGTCGCATTTTCGTCGTTTCTCACGTTCCTGTCTTCCCCCCCCCCCCTGGCCTCCTGCCCCCGCCACCCAGGCTTCACGGACGCGTTCAAGTGCGAGCACGAGCGCTCCGTGCACCTCTTCATCGACTCGCTGCTGCACACGGAGCAGATGCCCACGGCGTTCCGCTGCACTGACTCAGATCGCTTCAACCGGGGCCTGTGCCTCAGCTGCCGCAAGCACCGGTGCAGCGCGGTGGGCTACGGCGCCGAGAGGGTGCGCGCCCGCCGCAGCACGCGCATGTTCCACAAGACGCGTGGCGGGATGCCCTTCAAAGGTGCGGACGGCGCGCGCGGAGAGACGGGGCGTGCTGTGCACTACACGCGTACGGGGCAATATGTCGCGCGGGTACACAATCGCCGTGTGGCGTGCACACGCAAGGCCTGCAACAGCACACGGCTTGCCGAAGATGCCGCACTGAGCCACGCGATGCGCACACAACGATGCACTTCACTGCTGCCACGTGGTATGATTTTCGCTGCACAGTGCAGTGGGCACTATCACCAGGGCACATGCCACCCTCTTCCTGACACACCCACTCAACGCACACCCCGCACATCCCACATATACCACCCACCCCAACAACACCCGCCAATCGTCACTAACTGGAGATTAGCACCATGGTGCTTGTGACAGGCTACGTGCACTTTAATGCCACGTGAAGTATCAAACACCCCCTGGCAGGTCACGGGACAGACCCAGGTGCTATGGGTTGATTGACCCACTCGCCCAACGCACCAACCCCACACCCCCACAAACCTTACCCACTCCTCACACCCCACACACCCCGCACACCCCACCCGATGCATCCACCACACCCACGCACCCACTCACCCACCCCACACCGCCGCTCACCGTGCCGTGTGTTCGTGCTTGCCCTTGGCAGTGTTCCACTACCAGGTGAAGATCCACTTCACCAGCCAGGTCCACATCGAGCAGCTACGGCCCCGGCTCTCCGTGTCTCTGCTGGGCACCACGGGGGAGGCGCACGACCTCAAGATCGTCTCGTGAGTCGCTCGCAACTAAAATCCGATCCCCGTACGAACCGACATTTGGAAATATCGGTTTACCCTTCGGAATATTTATGTATTCGTTTTTAGCGAAGTCAGTCTTTGCGCGTGAGTCTATATCCACGCATTTGCAACCGAAAGCTTTTTTTTTTGCGGCAACTCACCAAACTTTTTTCTGAAAGAGTTGCTCGGTTTGCTTTGGATAAAGTTGAACATGTTGTTCCTTTCTCGTTGGCGATACTCTTGTCCTGACCAACGTATCTCTTTCGTTGTGACCAGTGTTCCTTGACCTGCCCGTAACCCCAACCGTAAATAGGCAGGGAACAGATATAACCTCCCATGGTCAGGCGGGGTGGCGAGCAGGAGCGTGCGGGTGGAGGCAGGGTGGCGGACACACACACACACTACAAATGTTCGTCGCTGAATCTATCTTTCCTGGGGTACACACATTTCAACGAACCGACGCTCATTTACACGGAGATGACTCGGCGCCGCGCGCGAGCGGTGAAGCGTCGCGGCGATGTTGAGTGAGGGCCGCCCCGTGTGTCCGCGCAGGAAGGACAGCATGGAGCCCAACACAACGCACTCCTTCCTCGTGTACACCGAGCAGGACGTGGGCGACCTGCTGCAGGTCAAGTTCAAGTGGGAGAGGTCGGACAACTGGTACCAGTCGGTGTGGTACAAGATGCGCACGTGGTCGGGCCTGGACCACTCTGGCTCGGGCTTGAGCATCCGCGTGCGCAAGATCCGCGTCAAGTGCGGAGAGACCCAGAAAAAGTGAGCCTCTCCTTCTCCCGCCTTTCGCCCTCCATTTTCACTCAACACTCCCTCCTCCCCTGCCTGTCTTCACAACCCTCCGGCTCGCTCTCCTCAACCCCACCCCCATCCTCCCTTTGTCCCTGCATCCTTCCCTCCCTCCCCTCCGACCGACCGGCCTAGCCCCCAACTGCGGTGCAGCTTTCCGTGATCACCGTCAGGTGCAAGCAGTGTGCATGCCGTGGCTTAATTCCACAAGATCGGACCCAAAAGAAACCAATTATGGACTTGATTTGCATATGAATAGTAGAGATTGGTAAATCATGGAAAGGCAGAATGCGGGGTGGGGGTAGGGGGAATGGAGTTGGGATACGCGGCTCCAAGCGGATGACGTTCGGCCTGTCGCGGGCAAGGCTCGTGACAGACTCTGCCGAATGCGAACATCAACGCGAAGGCAGCTCACAAAATAAATTGTCAACGCCGCAACGTGGAAAAAAAGCACACAAACTACACGGTTCGCTGGACGTCGAGATCATGCCCCTCACATCGCCACGGTGCGGTTTCAGGATCCGCCTCGCTGGCGCCCGATTGGCTGACGGTTCTGCAGAACGCATCACAGCCACTTTGTAAAGTTGAATTCTTGGAATTCCGCCCTTGACGCGGGCGCTAAGTGCCGCTCCTACCATGTAAATTGCTCTGTGGATCCACAACCCCCTAAGCTTTCAGTTGTAAGTGGTCTCCAACTGCATAGATGAGTGGGAGTGACTTTGAAGTTGGGAGGAGGGGCAAGTAGCCATGAGGTCCGTGAAGGATAACGGGGGGTGGGGGTGGGGGGGCAGTACAATGGCTGCCCCCTACTCCACCCCCACCCAAGGCCACCAGCTCTCTGCAGTCTCTGGGATTCCTCATCTCCCGCCGGCCCAATCTCCTGCCGGCCCCATCTCTCGCTATTGGGCGATCATCCCCCTATGTGGGCAAAAACCAACCCCACGATGCTCAAGCACAAATACAAAACAAAACGTGTTTTCCATTAGCAATGCCTTAGAATAAACACATGCAAGAGGCTATTTTTTCAGGTAATCTCCGTTCTGAAGTAGAGCGATAACATCATTATTCACTGGATTACAGTCGGAGGTCGCAGTTTTAGTTTTTTTAATTAGTCGCTGTGAGGGCGAAGGTGCCCAACTGAGGGCCTCTTGCAGTGTTCTTCATTAATATTAAGAGGGGGGCCAATTTCACCAATAAGACATTGTCAGTGTGAGGGCCGCCACACATTTGAAACCATTGTTGGGTTTGACAGCAGCACGATGATGATGGGGGATGTCTTCACTCTGTACTGTCAGGGGCACACTGAAGGCCACCAGGGGCCCACGGGCCTCGCACTGAAGAACACTGGCCTATTGACTATGGCGTGAGTTAACCGGGGATGTTGATTTTTTATCGTTTATAGAATGGCGTTCTGCTCCAAAGACCAGGACACCGTGGACCTGAAGCCCTCCCAGGAGGAGGTGTTCGTCAAGTGTCCCGACGGGTGGATCTCCAAGAGAAGCTTTGGGTAAAAATAAGATTGCACGCCCTGGTGCCGCACCCATGTCCACTCATCACTACTAGGGGCGCGTGACATTGAGGAATGAACAGGTGACACAAACTATTGGGTACTAAATCAGGATTCGGTAAATGTTTGATCAACATTGAATTCTCGTCATCTTCACAACCCACTCTCTCACCACTGCTACCAAACAAACATGCTGCCTTCTGCATGAGTACAAAACAACCCCCACCTCCCTCCCCTTTAAAAGCAGCATCCTTATGATGTAAGTATGTTGAGCTTCTATCGCACCATACGTAGCCAACCGTGATAATTGTAGGTGCAGGGGAAGGACAACAAGCTAAACACAAAAAGCTGTCTAAAGAGATGTCTCCAATGATTCTCACTCTCCTTCAGTTCTTTTTAACTTCAGGTTTACCGTCCCTCTTTTTTTTCCAGTTCCGCTGGGAAGCGGGACGAATGAAATTCTGATGGAGAATTCCGCGGGAGAGAAACTGGACCAACGCAAGAAAGAAAACAACGGACGAGTGCCTTCAGTTCGTGGCTCAGTGCAAACCCGACTTCGCCGCTCCCCAGGGATGAACCCTGACCCCCCACGTCCAGTCGCAGCAGGGACCACACGGCACGGCGTATGGACGCCTAGAGCCCCTGCTTCACCTCCAACCTCCCCCGCCAGGACCTCCCAACTGCGAGTTCATGCTCACAAGCTCGGCACAATCGCGAACGGGTTCTATTTGTTAGCGCGATGAGCCCGAGCCGCACGTCTCATGGCCATCAATGGCGATTGAATAACAACGCGCGGACAGACGCTACAGCCTGGACCTCGCAATCCCCACACCGTGCTCCGTCCAGATGAGGGTCGCACAAATGTTTTTTTCACTCGTCACTTTTTTGTTTGGATGCATCGCGCATAAAATAAGCGACCCGGCGTGCGTGCGTGGAGGATGTGCACGTATTTGTACATCGCAATTGTGTAAAATGTAACTGTGATAACGTGCGCGGCCTATCTACGGCGTGTTCCCAATGCTGCGTGCCTTCCACACGGACGCCGAGGCCACGCTGCAACCCCCACGCGAATGGCTCGTCCAGGGATTTATTTCTCAACGCATATTTTCCAGATTGGCCATCAAGACTGGAATAGCTCGCCGCAGATATATAGTTAAAAGATTTACACTGGGTGCGGTGTGCCAGGTGTTGAAATATTTTCCGGGACATCACACCCAAGATCCCCAGCTGAAATTAAGACCGGGGGCTAGCTGGACTCATGGTAGAGCATTTCTAGTTTTATCTTGTCTTATTCTTCGGTGCAATTTTATTCCACATCTTTACAAACATTTTATTGGTCTGTGGGCATTGCCTTTCACTTCATCGTCAAATCGAAACATTTACCAGAGTTAAGTTCAGAGGGCATCATGGTAAATGCCACTGATGTAACCATATCTTCCCTTGGCCAACTACCTTCTGCCAGATTATTCATTGGCATAAATGTGTAGTGTACACAATAACAATTAAGAGTGTCGATATTTGAGCGAACATACACCTCCCATAAACAATCTCCGGTTAGCCTCCCTTGTAAATATATTTTTCTTAAGATTCTATTTTTTTTATATGAACAAGTGTTGACACGGCGTTCTGAACTGAATAGCTAAGGGACAGCCCTGACCGCGGTCTCTCGACATTCTGATGTCAGCGGCGCACCTGCGATGTTCAGGCACGTCCGTGATGGCAGGGATCCAAGATCTTGCTCATTCAGCCCTGAGAGTTGGGTACTCAAACGCATCGCTATGTAATAGCTTAAGGGTTGTTGGTGTTGTTGTGTATTTGCAGTAAAATATAACTTGCCACTTAAAACCACTCCGTCCTGTGGCACACACTGACTGGCAGGACTTCAAACGTAAAAATTCTTCAACTCGTGAGTTGAGTTCACCGCCAACGCCGAACGTGATCGCCGGTTCGTTATCGGTGAAATCCTGGGTGTCGCGACGCTACCAAAGTGGCTCCTCTCGCAATTTCTCTGCCAGTGGCATGGCGTGGGTAACGGTGGTGGTGGCACGTGGGTTGGGAGGGTTGAAGGCCACACGCCAGGAGCCGTAGTCCTCAAGAGCCCGTGGGCGACAGCCAAAGATGTAACCCAGCTTTGAAATGCAGCCAAAATAAAACCCACTACGGAGAGAGGCAACACGAGAGTGAAACTTGGCAACCATCGTGGTGCGAGACTTTTCCTTGCGCGTTTACACCAATAGGGACGAGCAGCGGTGAAGGGGCGCTTGGTGTTGCGACACAAAGAATTTGGCGGTCCTTTCCGTTACGATTTATCTTCAGTTTTGCACGGTTGTACATTTTGCACATTGCACAGAGCACTGCGCCGAGGACTGCTGTTAATGTTTCGTGCTGTAAAAAGTCTGGGACTTAAGTTATTGCCGATTGTACATACTGTATACTTGCATTAGTTGACCGTGAAGGGCTGCCCACGCTAATTCATACGCGGGTAATTTGCATCCTGTACTTTTGTAGATGTAACATTTTGAAATAAAACTTTTTAAAATCCAACCTGCGGATGTCTTCTGGTGCAACGTTACGCTTTTGAAACCCATCGGCTTTTACATCGTAATCAGCTGCGAGAGGTGCACACACGCACCACACTATTCATAAGCGCAAAGAACATCATAGCTTACTGCTGTCTTTGCAGTACGGTAGCAAGTGGCGGGGAGAATTAAGCTCAATCGTAGATAACACAGGTGCCAACATTTAACATATGGGGGGAAACATTGATAGCCAGCAGTTGGCTTTTATTTGTCATTTCAAATCGCGCATCCGTGAACGTTTCAAAATATAGATTAGTAAAAAGCAGAGAATGGAAAAAAGTGGACAAAGCCATGTCGGTAAACAGTTTACACTGGAGTTTGGGACGTAAGAAAAAGCGTTGGTTAGAGTAATAAAAACGTAAAAAATAAGTGCAAGCCATACGGATGCGCTTTAGCGCAAGCCGTTGCTATTTACAGAGTACAGGCCTCAACTCATTTAATACACGCGGCGGTTTAAGGTGTTCAGGCTACACAGCACCATAGGTAAAAAAAACTAAAACCCACGAGATACATTTCTGTCGTTTGTTTATTTTCGGGTCCCATTATATGTCCCAGCCCCTGCAAACTTTTCTCCGTTGATGGTAGCGTTCATGCCGTACAAAAAATTCCACTTTTTTGAGCCTCAAATCTCCACCTCTGCATTTTCACACAATACCCCACAGCTTAAAAGTCAGTAGCAATACATTAACATGGAATGAATGGGCCTCGAACGCAAACCTATTTTTTCTATAGGTTCAATATTTTTACAAAAACGGTAAACGGAAATAGAGTGTGCATGACCACAGCAGTGGCGAATTGAGAGTTTCTCAGATCAATCTGGAGAGTTCCGGGAGACTAAATATTAAAATATTTCACGAGCGAGCAATCAATTAAAATAATTTGTAAGTACCCATAACCCCGTGGTGCAATAATTCGATGGTTCATAAACCACAATTTCAGAATCAAAATATTTATACTGGAGGAATCCGATGAGCTATAAAGCTCTTTGTTCACAGACGTCCAGTATGGACGTGTCAGAACGATTATATCGGCGATGTTTTCATCACTTCAGGCCCTCGTCACCACGTTTTTGAGCACGCCAAGTAAATTAGAAAAGGAAGAGGGGGGGGGGACCACAAAACATCATTTGGGGGTTTTAGCGCTCGAATAAAAAAACGCAAAATGCGTGTGGCATGATAAACGACACAAGTTAAACACGCACAGCTCTGCTCGTCAGTGTACCAGCTACGCTCGGTCAAAACACAGTTCAGTAGCTCAAAAAACTTTTATTTTTATTAAAAATAAAAGTTGCTTAAAAAGGCTGAGCGCCCCCCCTCTGCTGATCTCTAGGCCCCCCCACTCACGTTACAATTTCGTCGCTGCAGATGCGGCACGGTCCGTGTCCCTTTTTAATCAATAGCAGTAAAACATAAGACGAACCTCGCCTCGTCTGCTTTAAAAGCGAGAAGATTAGCGAGAGCTAATTCCATTTCTTGAGGAATCCATACGATACCTCAGAACAAGCCGAGTTCACATTTGTTAGTGGCTTGGTTTTTCTTGCCAGTTATAGATAGAGAAAAAAAACTTCACCAAATTTGGGTGTGGAAGAAAATCTACCCCTCTTTATACTTTTTTTGCACACTGGGCTGAAACGAAGCTCAGATAAAATGGGAAATATGATGATGGGGCTGGGAATGCAGATTCTCGGGGTCGCTGTGGCCTCGGGGCAGTTGCGATACAAATTGTTGTGCAAATGCAGCACAAGTTGTCTGGACGAACTAAAAACAGTCAGTTTCTAGGCACTTCAGCAAATTGAAGCATCGTTTAAACAGAGACCATGCGCGCCGCGCTTGCGCACACCACATGCCCGACGCCAAAACAGAGGCCGGTGAAACGAACAGTTCCGCCAAAACGCAGCCTCATTTCCAACACCCCTCGGATGACAATTCTCACTTTCCTAGAAGATAAAAAAAAACTCAACTCATCCGGCAAAGTAATAACGGACTGAGCGAACGCTGCATTTGAGTGCATAAACAGGTCCTCGCTTTGCTGAGCAAGGGAGAGTGATGTCTGCTGAAATCGACTTCGTGCTTGGTCCCTCTCGCACGGCGGTTCGCCTGCGTGCGACGCTTCCTTTGCACGGTGCCGGACGTCGTCTCTTTGTGTGAGACAAACGGGCCGCATCTACTGGGCCGACAAGAGAAAGAGCCACTTAAACCAGTAGGTGTGCGGAACCGGGATTCTCGGATCAAGCAACGGTGGAGAATGTGTGCGAAGGTCTTGGGTTTGACGTTCCACCCAGAAGGCATCGGGGCACACGGATACCCACGCCGGGTGTGAAACTGCCACCGGACTTGTGCAAAGCCCAGTATTAAACATACGTTACAAAGTCTTTGGTTGCCTTCCCATAACACCGATCCCCCCCACCACAGCCAAACGCTAACCCATTCGAGTTGTTACATATATCCCAGCTATGCTACAGAGCAGCGCACTTTAGGAGCATTTCAGAGGCTTCTCCAGCAGCAGAAATACCATTTGCTTGTGTAGCGATTCAGAAACGACACCACAGGTTTTGCCCAATTATCCTTGGTAGCTGTTTCTTAAACCGCACATGGAATGCCTTCTCTTTATAGACGCAGGCGAGCAGTTTTCTGTGTCTATGCACCAAATTAAGTCCGAAACCAATCGCTCGTAACATTTTCTGTCTAATTCCGTATGTATATATACGTGTCTGTGTGTGCGTGTGCAGCTGGCTCAGCGCTCTTACGCAGGCGTCAAAATATCATCAGAACCGAGCCTGCTGTCGACCGGTCCGTGCTCTTTTCATCCCTCAGCGGAGCATCGAGTCTGGACGGCCACATGGCCACACGATCCTCCTGGGGCAGGAGTGAGCGAGGCCTAAAACCGCAGGAGCCGTGATTGTCGTAGACTCCCGTAGGCGTAGTGGTGGGAATTCCTGCTCCTGCTGCCATTCCTTGCCGCTGGCCTCCCACCTCCTCCAACCGCCCACCCACAACAAACCACATCCCCCCCGCCCCCTCCACCCCTCCCTGCTCGGCCGCCATCACCGCCTCAAGTTCTGCATCTCCTGGCCGTCGGGCCTGCGGCTCCTCGCCTGACGCTGCCTCTGCTGCCTTCGCAATGTCGACACGCCTGGCACGGAAAGTACAGGGGTCACGGGGGGATCACAGGATCATCTCAGCGACGAGAATGCAGGAGCAGACGTATAAAACGAGAAGGGACGGTGCACAGACAGTGACATCTAACCCTCGTGCGGTCATTCAGGTTGGATGGAGGTGGCGGCCGTGCGACCTCACCTGGCAGCTCCTTGTGCTTGGGCAGGTTGGGGTTGCTGCTGGGCGTGTGTTTGCTGCACAGGTAGATGAAGCCCCCCATGAGCATGATGAGAGCCACGGCAAGGAGAACGCCGGCCCACCAGTGATCCTGCACGCCCGCAGCAATAGCACGCATGCGCCGGGATTCCATTCATACTTAGAAGAAACCATGATCATAGTGATCATCAGCTGGTGGACAATCCACGCTGAAGGCCTCCGCAAGCCAACGCCGCCGCCGCCATCTCTCATGACCTTGCGATGTAAAGATCTACCCAACTCCCTACACACAATATTATTTCATCGCTCCATCTCCTCGGAGGACTTGGTTCTGATGAACGCGTCCCTACTCTTTAGTAGGAGAATAACGGAACGAATCAAAATTGGCCACGTGTAGTCACTAGGAAGAGCTGAACAGCTCTCTCTCTCTCGCCATTTGGTGTTCGGTGCAGTGAAGTCCCAATGAGAACTGGCAATCGATGAAGTTACGTGTGATTAATTAAGACTCTAAAGTTACTACTGGATTCCTAAATGCTAATTATTGATCCAAAAATAAAGGATGTGTTTTCGGAATTACGTACATATAGGTATGTTGCTTATCGATATTTCAAACAAGTAAAATTTTTATAAATTACATTTATCTAATAAGTGAGGTGGAAAACCGGGAAACTAAATGTCTATACTTCATGTAAGCAAGCAAATAATAAAGATTCTAACAACAATCTCTATGGGCTTGTGCAACAATCTAATAATAATGCAAGCGGCCTCTGATCCACAGTTGAACTAAATCCACCAGTGAGGCTGCAGCGCTCGGTGGAAAAAGCCCAGCCAATGATTAATTGATAGGGCTGGATCCCAGCCCTTGCCAGAGGTATGTGAATTTCAACCGCCGGCTCGGAACTGCCAGCGCAGAAGGGCATCACCGAGCACGGTGCCACCCTGACCTTGCTTTGGCTTCGATGCCGTGAGGCCGTCCCTGGCCCATCTGTAGACAGCTCCGCGCTGTGCCCCTTGCGCCGGGGGTTGGATGCCATCCCTAAGCACTCAGCTGGACCTGGCCCGGGGCCACACAGCTGCACACTGTGTACCACACGGTGTGCCATGTGGTATAAGGCTGCAGTAATAACGAGTGTGGCGAGATTGTTTTTCAGGATTTGGGTTTTGTCGGTGCAGCAACGCGCACCCTAACGGAGTCCAACGGGGGGGTTGGGGGATCAGAGACAGGTTCAGGGACCGGATCAGGGACAGGGTCTGCAGGCCGCAGCATTCGCGCACCGCCAGCCAACGCGCCGCGGCGCCCCCCACGGAGCGGGAGAGCGAGCGATGAGGAGGGGACGGGCGAGGGCGCGGGCCTTCCACCTACCCGCACCCACTGCGCCAGCGACTTGTAGAGCTCCGGATTGAAGATGGCCTTCTTGAGGCGTGCCAGTGGCCCGTCGGCGTCCACGAGGCGGCAGCGCAGGAAGACGTCGCAATAGCCGCGGAAGTTGTTGCAGGGCGAGCCAGGCTGCAGCTTCAGCTCCTTCGAGTGGAAGAAGTCGATCCAAACATCCGCCTTGGTGCTGGCGCACGAGCTGGGGTCTCCTGCAGCACACACGGACGCGCACGCACGCGTGGAGCGGTCGCGTCGCGGTTAGCGCGCTGTATGTTACGTATGAGTGCATAGGTGTGAATACACGTAGGTGTAGGTATGTGCATGTGTGTGTATAGACACGTGGGGAGCGGTAGTGTAACGGTTAGCGCGCTCCGCTACAAACCCAGTAACACAAGTTCGATTTCCGCTCACGGCCAACACGAGTGATGATTATCTGAACCGGTCCTGTGCCTTCCCATGGTCTACTCAGGATCTTTGTTTTGTTGTTTGTACGTACATCAGCGATGGTGCTGCTGGTGGTGGGTGTGGCTGGTGGTGATGGTGGTGACAGGGTTGGTGGCAGTGGTGGCAGTGCTGGTGGTGTCGGTGATGGGAGCAGTGATGCTGGTGGTCAAAATAAAAGTTGTTGTGCTGATCGTGAGCAGGACACAGTCAGCTCACGATGCACTGATCACGAACTGCATTTCGGTGACGACAGCAGTGGGGGCAATGGAAGTGGAGGTCGTCACTGTTCGAAATTTGACTTGAGCCATCAGGTCAAGCAAAACATTGATCAAAATGAACGAGAGAACGAATGAATGAAATAGGGCTGGGAGTGGCGCTCACCCTTGCGCATGCAGCACACGTGGCACTGTTCCTCCACGCTCTCCCCGGAGCACGAGCACTCCTCCAGGCTGTGCCGATCACAGATCGAGCCCGAGCATTGCTGCGGAGAGGGAGGAGAGCGATACTTCAGTACCACCATTACTATCATCTTCGACACGGTCGCCGCACCAGCGAGGATCACCGGCGCATCACTCCCAGCCCCCACTGCGACCCGCGGCATTGGCACCGCGCCACCCTCGCACGCACCCGGACCACAACGGACAAATCCTCCAAGGGACCCCGTTTGCCATCGATATGACTGCTCAACCCGAGCTATTAATGCTTTGATATTGGCATCGCCTTTGTGCTGTTCGCCTTTTGGCGTTTTCTGGTCTAACACCGGTGAGACATGGCCATAATGGAGGCCGTCTGGTGTAGGCCAAGCAGTTTCAAGGACAATGTGTCACATTGTTACCGAAGCACACTTGTTTGCATGTTTTACCACAAGCATGTGTGGTTAATGCAGACTGGGTACCTTGCAATGGGTGTCTGTTTAGTGTTTGAACATCTTAACTAAACTACCATTCGACTAATCTTGATTTGAACCTTTCGTGACTGCAGGAATCCACACTCTTTGGTTCTTTCGGTAAAGTCACGTAGGTAGAAAATAAAATAAATCACGACGTTTCGATCGCCACACAAGCGATCGTCCTCAGGTGGGAAGACTTTACCGAAAGAACCAAAAAATACTCCCACCTGAGGACGATCGCTTGTGTGGCGATCGAAACGTCGTGATCTATTATTAATTTTCTACGTGACTTTACCGAAAGAACCAAAGAGTACTATTTGACAATTTTTATTTCACCATGATAGGTCCGCTGAGCTATATAACACTTTGTCAGAAGCAACCTGGCTACAAATGATAGCTCTATTGAGGGAAAAATCAGAGGACCCGGAGAAAAATCCACGCGACCACGGGGAGAAACGCAACCTCCAAATATACAGGAGGCATGAAGGGTCAGGATCGAACCTACGACCCCCTGTATACGCACCTCCGATTAGAACGGTTGGCTATGTACCATGCGAAAGTAGTTCAATATACATACTGCTCAACAATACAGGCGGGGTAGTTAAAATCTCGCCATCGTGGCGCCTGTGTTGTCGCCGAAAAAGGGTAAAAGACTTATTTTTTCCTTGTACAAATCCTCGCCCGGCTCGCCGCGGCAGGAGCCGTTAGCCGAGCCTGCGAGCATCCCCGACGATGGCCGTGGCGGCCTTGCGAGGCACGGAACAACACGCTGCCTGGCGCCGCTCACCCCGCCCTTGCAGACGCGCGTCTCATTGCTGCAGAAGATGAGGTCGGGCTGCGGTTGCGAGGCCGGGCAAACAGCGCTCGTGCCGTTGCACGCCCCCTCCTTGGCGCATTCGGTGGGCGCTCGGCACTCGTCGTTGCGCAGACGGAACTTGCAATCGTGGGTGCAGCAGGGGCCCCGGGTCGGACTGTGCAGCGGCAAGGGGGATGGCGGTTAGGGTGGGGGGAGACGTGGGTATCAGGCACTAGCAAACCACGTGGGTAAATACACACAGTGATTTATAGTTTTCGATTTAAAGCTTTGGTGACTGCAGGGATTCATATCCTTGGTTCTTTCGGTAAAGTCACGTAGAAGGGAAATAATATAAATTAAAAGCTGTGGTTTTCACACCTGATGATGATTGCTTGTGTTGCAATCGAAACGTCGTGAGAATTTAATTGTTTTCTTTTTATCATTGTATTATTTCCATTCTCCGTGACTTTACCGAAAGAACCAAGAATATACACACACTTATGTCGTGAACTGGTGCGGATATTACCGCGCGCGTCAGTAACGGTTGTTACAGGGGGTAAGTAACGGTGTGATATCTTCCCTCCCGTGGATAATTATTCAAGAGGATGTCCACCATAGAGACAGAGCGACGAAAGAAACCCGTGAACTTTAGGTGGTTTGCTGCATCATAGAACAGTGAGAGATGGGGACGGCTTGGAGAAAGAGTCCTTCATCCGGCAATGGATAGATCATGGCTGATGATGATTCGTGTGGTATGAGTGAGCGTATCGTATTACCGTAGTATCAGTGAGGTTATTCGCATAGTATGAGCGCGTTACCTTTATCTGGACTACCGATGGATACAGTAGCTCGCGTAACGGTTTTTTAGTAACACTGACGAGATGTAATTTGGAACTGCCCTTATCACTGTAAACATTCATTGTCAAATTGAGTTGTGAATCGCGCTTATCGTGAGTACTCTCCATCGCCTTGTAAATGCCGTTGTTTGCAACATCGGTTTGTTATCTTTCGGTTTGTTATATATGTAGAGCGTGATTGCACAATAAGCGCACACAATCACACCCGACAGCCGGGCGGTGGTGGCTATGCAAGTGGCACTGGGGGAGGCAGCGTGGGTTGATGGATCACTGCACAAATGTTGCGAAACTCCATTCCCGTGGGCGTCAAGGAGGTGCCGCCATACCCTGGCTTGCAAGGAGAAGGACAGTACAGCAAGTGGACTAATCCTCATCTGTTTCCATCTGTACGGGGATGTAGTGTTGCCCCCTCGCACGCGTAGGTTTTCTCTGGGCCCTCCGGTTTTCTCCCACTTTTATAAACACATCGTTTCTTGGCTGAAAACAGCTTAAAAATAAAAAAAAACCCAATGCAGGACCCTCCGAAAAAGAGTACTTGGACTTTCGTGGATAAGTAAATTATTGTTCTTAAATATGGAGCTACTCATCACCCTGCAGCTACTTTTGACACCCTACTCTCCTACCTACCTGTTCCACCTCGCTATGCCGTGCCCCACCTATCTTTCATTGCTGTTCTGTCTTGCCGTATTGTTCCACCACGTGTCCTCCTGTTCCACTCTGCTGCACCACCCACGAGCACGTTCCACCTTTCCCCGCAGTGTCCATCTCTCCTCACCCTCACCCAAACTGTCCTCTCCACCTCGCGCTGCCACTCGTCTGGCCGCGAGAAGTTCCTGTTTTTGCTCGCGAGTGTGCCATCGCATGCCGTGCCAACCTTAAAAGCGCTTTGCCCAACAGTGAGAGGGTACACGGCTCTGACGTCCAGCTTTCTCTCGTCAGTAGCCCCATGTTCTGCCTGCCACTCCCCCCCTGCTCCCCCCCCCACACCCCTACCCCCCCCCACACCCCTACCCCCCTGCTCCCCCCCACACCCCTACCACCCTGCTTCCCCCCCCACACCCCTCCCCACTCCCACCCTGACCCGCACCTGCACATCTTGCCGGGCTTGAGCTGGCAACCTTTTCCACTTGTGTCGTCGGCCGGGTAGCAGCACGGGTCTCCATTGCACTGGTCCATGAAGCCACAGTCGCACGCCTCGCCTTCCTCCACCAGGCTGTTGCCGCAGATTGGCTTGTTCGACTCTGAGCACACGCACACGCACGCACACACACACACACACACGCACACACACGCACGCACGCACACGCACGCACACGCACGCGCACGCACGCGCACACACACGCACGCACACGCACACACACACGCACGCACGCACGCACACGCACGCACACACGCACACGCACGCACACGCACGCACGCACACGCACGCGCACGCACACACGCGCACACGCACACACACGCACGCACACGCACACACACGCACGCACACGCACGCACACGCACGCACGCGCACGCACGCGCACGCACGCACACGCACGCACACGCACGCGCACGCACATGCACGCACACACACACACGCACGTGCACGCACGCACACGCACGCACACGCACACACACACACACACGCACGCGCACGCACACACGCACACACGCGCACGCACACACACGCACACGCACGCACACACACGCACGCACACACACGCACACACACACACGCACACACACACACGCACACGCACACGCACGCACACGCACGCACACGCACGTAGATGGACGCAGACGCACGCAGACACACGTAGAGGTATGTAAGCACGCATTCGCCACCGACGTCCTCGTACGATACGCTGCAGGTTTAGGCTTCCAATGCCACTTTGGGTTTTCTCAGAGACTTTCAGGTGATAATAAATGCACGTGGTTTCATCATCAGCGCTTTTTCATACAGAAACCCAAAGACCCAAATTGAGACCCATAGACCCACACGGAGACCTATAGATGCACAGAGATCCGTAGACTCGCATACAGACCCAATGAGAAACCAAAATGCACTGGTAGGGGCTGCATCATCAGTGGTTTTTCACATAGACCCCAAGATCCCACATTCAGACTCACAGACCAGAAGTCGCAAATGGGTTTTGATTCCTTACCCGTACCCGTACCCTGCCGCACCAGGGTCGCAAACAGGTAGCCGTACCCGTACCCTACCCGATACCCGTACCCGGCCGGGTATCGGGTAGGGTACGGGTACCCGATTGCGACCTCTGGGATGAAGCCATGTTGCAGGCGCGGGTGGGTTGATTCTAGGAACTTGAATTGTGAGAAGAGACAAGACGTTGGGAAATGAGTGACAAACGGTTACTCACCAGTGACTCACAGCCTACCCGTACCCATACCCGGCCGCACCAGGGTCGCAAACGGGTACCCGTACCCATACCCGGCCGGGTACGGGTAGCCGGGTATCGGGTAGGGTACGGGTATCGGGTACCCGATTGCGACCTCTGCCACACACTCCATTGAGAAGCTGGAAAGCGTTGGCAATGACTTCAACTTCAGCACTTTCTCACGAGACCAGCACGAGAGACTCGTCATGGCCTGTGGCCGCCCTAACGCCACCGGCCACACCATTCCCCACGTACCCACGAAGCAGGAGTCCTTGCGCGCGACGAGCACTCGGCTGATGTTTCCGATGCTGCAGGGAGAGAAGAGGTTGTTGTTCGCCTTGAAGCCGCTGGTGGCGCTGGGGTACATGATGAAGTTGCCCTTGTCGCTGATCAGCGTTCCCTCGCCCGGCGTGCATTGCTGGCCAGAGTCGTGCTGCTCGCACGCAAATACAGAGATCACAAAGATCCCCCGAGTAGCCTTTAACAGACTGCCGATGGCAAGCGCCGTTCGACGGCACCTATGAAGGCTGGCATGGCACACGAGGGGGTGGGCGGCCAGCACACGTGCCCGGCTGCCTTTGTCTCCCCAATGCTGATGTTTACACATGGAACCAGAAACTCATTTAAGGCCCAGGACCGTTTCAGATCATTGTTAATAGAACTTCCTTAAAATAAAATACAAATATATAATAGGAAATGTGTTGGGCAATGGGTTTCCTATCAAGGGCCATTGCCCAATTATTGTCATTTGAGTTGTGCGCGCCACTGCCAAGTTTAGTTAAAGCTTATTTTGATAAACAAGATGCGAACTCAGGAGATCAGGATAGCTGCCTCATTTGCAATGGTGAACCGATACTACGAACGCTAACGCGGCAGTATCACCAAATCCTTTGTTTGGGGCAAAACGACCGCCAATGCCAAGTCGCCCAGCGGTGGCGTCACGGTACAAATGAGGCTTCCTATTCGTTAATTGATCAGGCACCATCGAGTCACTTGCACGGAGGCCCCGCTCACGATGTTTGTATAAAAGCATGCGGGGTGATTTTGCTGGTGGGAGGAAACAGGAGTGCACAGAGGGAACCTGCCAAAGCATTCAACTCTGCAGGCCTCCCCCCCTTTAATCTACTCAAGACAATTCATGGACAGGGTATTTAGTTTCACCATCTTGCCTTGCTGTGTGAAGTTATTTTAGTCGGGCTCCACAAGACAGCAATAAAACAAACAAAAATGAAATCACTAGGTTTCAAACAAAGTGTGTAATTCGTTTGAACAAAACCACAAACTAATTTGCGAAAACAAAACGAGTTCTGTAAATATCATCCACAGGAAACGGCTGGAAAAACCTCCCAAATCTCTGGTCGGCTCCTGCTCGTTCATCGCCAGGTGAGCGGCGGTCACGTCGGGGGAGGGGGGTGTAGGGTGGGGTGGGGGGTGGGGCGGGGGTGTAGGATGGGGTGGGGGGTGGGGCGGGGGTGTAGGATGGGGTGGGGGGTGGGGCGGGGGTGTAGGGTGGGGTGGGGGGTGGGGCGGGGGTGTAGGATGGGGTGGGGGGTGGGGCGGGGGTGTAGGATGGGGTGGGGGGTGGGGCGGGGGTGTAGGGTGGGGTGGGGGGTGGGGCGGGGGTGTAGGGTGGGGTGGGGGGTGGGGCGGGGGTGTAGGATGGGGTGGGGGGTGGGGCGGGGGTGTAGGATGGGGTGGGGGGTGGGGCGGGGGTGTAGGGTGGGGTGGGGGGTGGGGCGGGGGTGTAGGATGGGGTGGGGGGTGGGGCGGGGGTGTAGGGTGGGGTGGGGGGTGGGGCGGGGGTGTAGGATGGGGTGGGGGGTGGGGCGGGGGTGTAGGGTGGGGTGGGGGGTAGGGTGGGGTGGGGGGTGGGGCGGGGGTGTAGGATGGGGCGGGTGCGTCTGGAAGGCACCCACCGGGGACCCGAAGTTGTGTCCGATCTCGTGGGCGAAGGTGATGTAGGAGACGCGGGGTGGCACGTGGCGCCCGTAGTTTTGCACCGTGACGATGCCGGTGTTAAGCGACTTGCGTCGGCCGTCCGGGTACGCTTTGTTCTTTTCACAGATGCCTCCCGAGCTGCCTGCTCACGCGCACGCAGATGAACGCGCACGCATGCATCGTCACGCCGGAATCCGGTTACACATCTCGTCACGCACGCTGGGTAATCCAGAACTCACCGTTTCTACCGAGAAACATCTCAGCGCTCCAGTTCTCACCTGCATATCCCCTCACCCCTCCCCCGGAACGCAACACAACCGAGCCATCATACTGGCACCAAGATCCAAAAACTCACCAGTGGGAGAGATTGTAAGAACTGTCGTTTTTTGTGTATGAGCTCATGACAGTGGCGTACATCATCATGTGTGAAAGTATGTTTCAAAATATGGAGGAGGGGGGGGGGGAAAACAGAAGGAACCGGAGAAAAATCCACACAACCACGGGGAGGGAGAGAACACGTGAATTCCAAATTAATGGGTGTCAAGGTCAGGAATTTGCACCCAGGATCTCCTGCATACCAGGCGATGGGTTTATTAAAATGGTTGCGGTTGTAAAGTTGTGGTTGTGCGTGGGCGCCGTGTCGATAATGATGAACTGGAGGATGGACGGCCGTGGTGGTGAAGTAGCTGCGTGGGTGTGTTCAACCGCGCGCTGCCGTGCAGTCTGGGGGTGGGAGAGGAGGGCTCTTTGGATTTCCCATTTCATCTGTGCTCGTGACACGGGATGGCCGGAACATTCAGTGCTATTATTATCGACTCAGCCCCAATGGCTCAAGACAAACAGAGATCAAATGCTGGGGGTGGTAAACCACGCAAAATCACACGCCAAACAAGGGAGAGTAAATTAAACTCGTGCACTGCAAAGTTGGTCAGCAAATTCTCTAGACGGTGGGAGGGAGAGGAAAAAAACTGCCCTCATTATTTTTCTTGCTGGCGCGAGAGCGGCGGTCGCTGTGCACACACAGAGCCCTCCCGGGCCGTAATAGCCTTCGTTTTCAACGCACGCTTTGCCGAGCTGCGATTCAGACCCACGGGGCGAATTAAACGTTCTCCGGGGCGACACACGGGAGAGAGGAAAGAATGCTTTGCGATCGTTCGCCTGATGCGCGTGTCCCTCTCGGTCCGGCACGCACGGCCCCATGCTGGAACATGGCGGCGTCACGGGGACTAGTTGGGCATTTCAGTTGGATCCAACAGCGTGGCGCGGAGTGTAGGACAGGGCAACCTCAACTCGGGAGTAGCGAGCGGACTTGGGTGTGAGGGTGACCAACGCCTTCCACGTCTCAAAAAAACCAACGCAGCCTCATTACCCGCCCGCCCGCCCACCCCTGCCTCGCACACCTCCTCCGTTCCCAGAACCCTCCCAACCGCCATCGACCGAGCACGCAAAGTCACGGGGGCTGTGCGCACACAAATAAACCGGCATTCTCTCCCACGCCAAACATACATGTGACAGCGCTGCTCGCTACGGACAGGCGTGCGCCCCTCCCTACCGCGTGCCCAAGCGCGCGGTCACCTACACCAAAGTCACCGCCAGCACGAGTGCCATGGGAGGACACGGCGAAGGACGGGTGGGCGCTCGTTAGTGCCAAAGCCGCCGTTCAATGCTCTACCAAGAGCTGCTTTACCGGGGGATCCGCAAACCCCACCGCTAGCCCCACTAGAAAGGACTCCCCCATTGGCTGCGCCGCAAGTAATTCTATGATCGATCTCGATTTTCCAATATTCACGCCGCTGCCGATGGTTCATCACCTCCCAGACTGGTTAGCGTGGCTAAGTTTATGTCACGAGGCAGGAGGAAGGAAGGAGGCTCCCTACCCTCGCAACTTGCCACAGCTCGCAATGCCGTGGTTGTTGGAAGACAGCAACTTGCAAATTCCTTTCATATTTTCTTGTTTTTGTTTACCTACGGCTGTGACGTTGGTTTATCCGTAGAGACCTCATGTCCTGTGCGGACATGCCACGTGCTGCAAAAAGACGGGCACACCAGGGCAGCAACGTCACTCGTGGACTAATTAATGTATTATGCTTTAAACTGAGTGTCGCCCGCGTTTCTTTCCAAGTGCACGTGTCACAATACCCACAGGGTTTCTAGCTACTTATTTGTTTAAAGACCACTCACGCTGACGAATTAAACATGTAAAATAACACCTGCGGGATTTTCTTAGAGAGACGGACTTTTTTCTCTTTAGCCTTGAGTTAATGTTTTATTCAAACAACTCTGCTGCCAGATTATACATTGACCAACTTCTGGCCTCCGCGACGCTTTTCCCACTACTGTACACCTGGATGCCCTTAAGGGAGAGGGAACAGTTGCTGTGGAAACCGACGTCAGCCAGGGCCGCACGAGTCCACGAGTGTCACGCTCCCAAAATGGGCACGGCTGCCAAGAGCGAGGGGGCTGTAACAACTCGCCGATTCACTATCTCCTTTACGGTTCTTACCGCGGAGGTTTCCGCCGTTGTGCTGTATCGCTTTTCAAGAACTGGAGCTCCCGGTGCGTGGAGCGAAACGACGGACATTGTGCCGAACAAGTAGTACACTCCAAAACACATCGGAGAACAACTGAACTAAAAGCATCGTATTTCACATGTACAAACTGCTGCTTATCAAATAATTAACGACTCCTATTATGGGTGGCCCTATGCATCCAGTGATCCACAAATTACCCTATAAGTCATTTCAGAACAGTGTCCAATTACTCACAAATATTTGACGGATAAGTCGGGTCGAGGAGCCAATTACTCCAATTTTCCACGATTTTCCCCCGTGGATAAGTGGAGCAAGTTCGTGCATAACCCTCACCGATGACAGGATCCGCGATATACGTCCACCGTATCACAACGGAAAAGAGGAGTTCTCTTCTACGTTGTATGTAAACGTTTCCACGTGATCCGTCAAGCCAGCCGGAGGCTCCGACATTCACCACAATGTTAGAAAAAACATCATCATCTCTGGACTCGAACTGTGACTCTGAACGTGACATCTCAAAGATCACACAACGGCTGCGGATAAACCCAGCGGTGCCGCACGGCTCGATAAACCCCCTCCGTGGGCCACTCCAGTGGGGATTAGCTCTCCGTTGAGAGCGGAACACTCTGGAGAGTGTAAACTCAGGAGAGGGAGACACTCATAGATCCTCGCTGAGCAAACACGAGGCTCCACCAACATAGCTACGCGCGCATAATGGCGGCTTCAGGAGTTCACACGTCAAGGTACAGACGTCATCGCGGCCACTGCCATTGATGTCACCGTGCCTCGCCATTGCTTCCTTCCTGCCTTCCGTTAGATCCCGTATTAGTTGCGGAGCGGACAGCTGACCTCCACAAGTCTGCTCTTACAGTTTCATGATCACCACCGGCTGGCTTTAGGTCTTCACGTTGGTCACCGACCTCTGGGTGACAGTCCAGATGCCTGACGCAAAAAATACAGCCCCGTTATTCGACTAATTGGAATAATGCCAAAATGACCCTGGGGTTGAGTGTTTCTTTCACGCATTACCGGCTTCCAATAAGTGGGTTACCCGAAGCCAAACCCATAAAAAACAACTCTTGTGAAGCCTGACCGGCAGCTGAGAGGGCAAGACCTTGGCCTAAGTACTTTGTGAAGGTTTGGCAGAGATGGCCTCTCCAATTCTACGACAGAGCCATATACACTCTTAGTTATGTAAAACAGATCGCACTCACAATGTCTCAATGCATTTGTGTGCCTCTCAATGCGAAGCTCTCTGCTTGTAGTAATAATTTAATAATGTGCAGCTCTCGGTGTTTCCACTACTGGACGAGTGCCTTCCCCGCACGGTGTCGGTGGTGGGGATTGTTTGGCCATACTTCACTCTGTCGGTCAGCGCAGATTGGTGAAAAGGTGGGGGAGTGGAGGGCAGGACCGGTACAGACATCACTCGCCATTGATGTTAGCCGTGGGCAGGAATAAAACCCAATTACAATCGATTTTTACGTTCACAACACACGTGTGTTAACTCTTATCTCTGACAACCTTGACAGCGCTGTTTGTGGCTGGCCACTTGAGGTTGCGGCCCTTTAGGCCCTGTGCTGTCAACTGCCTAAACAAATATTCAGACGAGTAAATAAAATGTAAACACGCGTCCGCGACGCATCCACTCTAATCGCGCGTCATTCGTGACGAATCTAAACTGGATGAAAATAAAAAACTAAAGCGCCTTGAGGTTGACGGAACAAACGACACTACTGCAAGCAATGCTGCCCTCGTGGGCACTACAACAAAAATAGGACAGTCGCGTTCGTCCGTGCGTCTGCCCGCCCGCGTGCAATGGAAACATTCATACCCCGATGCCTCCCGCATCACAACTGTGTGCCGCACAACGCAAGCTCCAGCCAGCCACGTCACGGACAGCTGACGGGACTAGAGTCGCCACCTCCGAAGCTCAAACAAAACCGGAACACATTAAGAGAAGGAAAGGAATAATATCTCTCAATCCCAGAAGAGGGGAGAATGACGTGTAAATGCAGTGGTTTATTATTATTGTTAAACCACTGACCAAAAACACCCCAGAAATGTTAATGTTCCAGTAAAGAATTCCAGATTTTCCTAGCACAGCTATCTCAAATTGAGGATGTACTGGGAAAATCAGGACAGGTGGCAACCCTAGACGGGACACGTGCCGGCACACCGCGTTAAACACCGCGCCATCGATTGCCCAACGACTGCGATGCTAAAAATACGGCGGAGGAGCCTCGTGCACGGCACTCACGCGTTACTCATTAAACCTGCATGGTTAGCGAGTAAATGAGAAATGCCTTAATTGTTCGATCACATGCAGGGCGTGCATTCCGACTCCAATCAGAGCTGTTGGCTCTGTGCACACTGGAGTGAGGACAGTCCACGTGGAATCGTGTGCTTGGAGGCAGTCGCCCTCCAACAACAACGGAGGGCAGAGGAACGATGCGCGAATCAACGAGCGGAGCGCCGGGCGGCTAATAAGCAGCGAGGTGGCACCGTGGCGAGCACAGCTGGTGCATCTGTCAGTCGTCTCAGTCAATTAACCTATAACACTTGGGTCTGTCCCGTGACCTCCTGCCAGAAAGCCTTCGAAACTTCCAAGTGCTGTGGTGACACGTTTTGTATGTGTTGAGGGGAGTGGTGGAGCAGTGGTTGACGCATTGCACTATGAACCCACCGACCTGAGTTCGATTCCCATGAACGCACTCGTGATAACGTGTTTATAAATGTGCTTAGTTACTTACTTAGCGGCTGATATTCGTGGCGATTGATGTCAAAACTGGTTCTGGGAATCCCATAGGTGGAGTGAGTATTAAGTGAGCACCTGTTGCGGCGTGTTGCTGTCCCCCCCCACCCCATCCATCTCGTGCGTCGTGCCGGCCTTAATAGCCGCTCGCTAACAGCACTTGCCCAAATGCGCGCGAGCATCGGCTGTGCATCAGTGATGGGTGTCTGTTCATGCGTATTAATGTCTCTGCGTGAACAGACATACGTATGCGCGGTGTTGGCCGTCGGTGAGTATGATGGGTATGCGCGTCCATGTGTACGTTATGTATGAGTGCGTAGGTGTGAATACACGTAGGCAGGAGTTCGTCTACTGCACTATGAACCCAGCAACACAAGTTTGATTCCCGCACACAGGCAATATCATTGAGGTTTATGTGAACCAGTCCTGGGCCTGCCCTAGGTCGACTCAGCCTCAAATGAGTAACGAGTGTGATGTGTAAACATCCCACCCACCCCTCTCGTATGCCGTTTCGGCCTTCAAAGCTGCTTGCTAACAGGAGTGATGAAGGCCATGCGGGGCTTCTTTGTCTTTGTTTTGGACACAGTGCAGTGTGCTGTGTGTGGACTCGCGCAGGTATCTGGGTGTACAGGTGACTGCAGTAGCAGGAGTTGGGGTGTACCGACGTGTGTACACGTGCGTGCGCTACCTTCGAGCTCACGGCCAACACCGGTAATGAATATCTGAACAGATCTTGGACCTTCCTTAGGCCGCATTGGGGAGCCAAAGCGGCGGGGCATGATGCCAACCACACCACCGTCTCGTGCGCCGTGTCAGCCTGAATACGTGCTCGCTAACGGATATTGTCCCAACAGTCGTAATTTTGCGCAAAAAAAAGAAATTCCTTACAGCATTCACTGCAAATAAAATGTACGCGTCAGTCTCGTGTCCGCATGTTCGGAGCAGCACGTGTATCCCTCACGCGCTCACGACTTCACAAAATATGGAACCGTGCGCACTGTCAGGAAGCGCGATGGGAAAAACCACCGACGCCCCACGCCGCCACGTGCACCCTCGGCCTCGCCACGATGTGCGCTCCACGCGACGCGCGCTGGCACCAATGAAGCGTGCAGACAGCAGAGGTGGCGGCACCCGTAGGTAGCCGGGGTAAGCTTCGACCCCACGCGCACTCTCGCAGGTATTTCGGGAGCAGGTGCCAGGGTGCCATGGACTGGAAAAAACTCGTCCCGCCAGGCCCCCACCAGGCCCCCACCAGGCCCCCACCAGGCCCCCACCAGGCCCCCACCAGGCCCCCACCAGGCCCCCACCAGTCTCTCGGGCAGCGCCGCCCATGCTGCCCGCCAATCGAGTGAGGGCACGTCGCGCGCTGCCACGCCGCCCTCACCAGAGCTAGTAAAAAAGAATTATAATTCAAACCATTAAAAGGGTGCCCAAATTAAACATTTCACGTGACCTTTGTGAAATGTTTAGTCGACAGAAAATCCTTTCAAATAAAGGAGCGTGGACAAAACAAAGAGCAGGTAAAGTTTCTATTGGGCTTTTTTGAGTAATATCAGAACTTTCTGGAACAGAAGGAGTGCCTGCCGGCACTTTGTAGCTACCAGGAACCGCGCCCAAACTCTCGTGTTTATCTCGTTGCGACGACTGGAGGAATCCGATGAGCTATGAAGCTCCTTTTCAGAGACAACCTCAGCAGTGCACTACGTTCAGTTTGACACCCATATAAGTCACCCCTGGGTATTTTGTCATGGAATTGTTATATCGCAGTCAAATTAAGGTCAAGGAGTTGGTGAAGTTGAGTTGATTCTGAGCAAAAATTTCCCAACCCTTGGGTTGTAAAACATCGAGCTCTCAGCGTTAAAAAAACGAGCAAAGGTTAATGCTCGTTACAGTCCGAGCTGTGGGACGCCCTTGAGCATTTCCCCCACTCTACAGTACGGTGTAGGAGTCCACGGAGGATTGACAAACCTCTTTGCGGCTTCACGGGGCCGAATGCACGGGAGTCAGATTTCAAATTCCTGTCGCCTCTGTAATCGCCGCAACCCCCCGAAACAGATAAATCCGCGTGTTTCTCCTGTTAACTCCCTTGCTTGGTATGGAGGAGGTTGTGGGTTCGATCCCAACCCTGACAACTGTATATTTGAAGTTTGCATGCTTGTGGATTTTTCTCCAGGACCTCCGGTTTCTCCCTCCACATTTGGAAACGGGCGTTTAGAGTACTCGGCTGCTATAAACTTCCACATGATAAGCCACTTCGTTGAGCTATCATTCATGACCAAGTCGCTTCTGAAAAAGAGCTATGCAGCTCAGTGGACCTTACCTCGTAAAATAAGATTTTTTTTTTTATATTGTAGTAAATACACCCCGCCCACGGCAAACAGGCCCAAACTGATTGAACCAAAACTGCCACCGCCCCTGCAGCCTCCCACACAAAATTCCAGGGAGTCACCTGCACCCACTCAGGTGGGACCCCTCCTCCCCATGCTGGGGAAAGGCACCAAATGCCGCAGCGACGAAAACCGCAACAGCAGCTAGGATTGGTTCCCCACCGCTAGGCTTCAAACCTCCTCGCCCGGGCCTGTCCATCAGCTGTCACCTCGCCGTGAAGAGGAATTGCTTAACGGCGGGCAGATTAAAGCTTCGCATGCGAACACACCGCTGGAATGTTTCTGGTCTCAGAAGTTTCTGGCATCAGAATTGTTGTCTTCCTTTTGCCGTTCAGTGCAAGTTTGAAGTGGAAGTGTGTCTATGGATTTTACAAAGAAATAATACAAACCAAAGGGATGCACTACGCGACACCTGCAGAGGCAAACGTGCGTCTGCCAGGCATCCATCGATTCTTCTTCTTTGCGATTGAATAAACTGTCTTAGTTTGCACGTCATAAATGAATTCTTGTTTTGCAATTACGGTCCATGTAACGCCTCTAGTGGCTGCATGTTTTTTTTTATGAGACCCAATTAAACACAACGGCACAAACACGCCAGACAATGATTCGTTCTCACGCGTGCGATCATTCGCAGGCATTGCGTGTGCAACAATCAATATTCAATTGTGTGGAGCACGCGGGGTGGGGGGGGGGTCAAAGGTCAGAAGACAGAAGTGGAACAAAACAAAACGCGCCGCTTACTCGGGGAAGCGACCCAGGCGAGGCCGAGGACGCCGTTGTCGAAGACGCGGTCGGTGAAGAGGTAGGAGAGGCAGTAGTCGTCGTAGTTGCCCTCCGAGTGCATGTCCAGGAACTTGTCGACGCCGATGTTAGCGAAGCGGAAGGGGTTGCTGCTGTCTTTCTCGTGCTCCGTGGTGTTCACCTGTGGTGCGGCGTGTGGTGAACGTGAGTGCCATTTTAGAGCCGGGTGGGGGGTGGGGGGGGCGTGAGAAGAGAAGAAGCCACGCGTACGAGGGGGACACCGCTCCACGTCCACGCAGATCGGCCGGTCGGCCGCGCCGAGTTCCGACTGCGGTGTCGCTCAGCGATCCAACAGGGTTAGGGGCGCCCACGTGTGTGCGTGTGTCTGCTCGCTAACAGCACTTGCCCCAAGTCTGTTAAGGCTACACGGGGGATCTTTGTTTTGTTTTTGTGTGCGAGAGCCTCACCCGGATGCGTTTCACCAAGAAGTTGATGTTACGGATGTTGTCGAAGTTGGTGACCCGGTAGATCTGGCTGATGGCCTGGACGTGATTCGCTATCTGAGCACAAGGATAAGGCCGAAGAGGGATTAGTAAAGCTGGCAACTCCAAATGACTACGAAACAACGGGAAGCAGAGCAAGGCATCGCCCCGTGTGATAGAAAACAACCCATGGAAGTGGGTACCACAAAACTGCTTAAGATATTAAGATCCCTTCTTAAGATCCCATCAAACAATCTCTAACCCAGACAATAGCTGCACTCCAAAAAATAAACATTTTCCTCATTATGCACATGACGTAACTACCCCACGTTGTGTGCTCTTTAGACCAATACATATAATTAGTCATTAAGCGTCGTTTTTTTAACAAACCCCATTTCACTGGCTAGACAGCGCTCTATGCCAATGCCATATATTGCCATAGTTCTTCATAGTACATGAGTTTAGATTTCTGGTGACAATTACCGTAAAACTGCCCTAGTCGATAGAGGTCATCTGGTTTCATTATGTTTGGACCCAATCTGCATGTTACTGACTTTGACTTATGGACGAGTAACACAGACTGTGAGAGAAAGGATGGCAGAAAAACTGAAAAGTGAGCAGAGAGGCACATGATTTAGATTACACCGAGACACAGAAATAGGAACACATGGATTCGAGAACAGATGAAGGTTAAACCCATATTTTAAAGAAAAGTTAAGTGGGCTTGGGCAAGACAACGATGGCCGGTGGGGGGCGAAATTAACTACCAAGTAGCAGCTAAAGGAGGGAAAGCACCAGTAAGGATGTCCACCGCTGAGATGGAGCGATGAGATCTCCTCGTGCGCAGGTGCTGAATTTATCGTTGCATCGCGGAACCATGAGGGCTGGCGACAGGCTTGCGTAGGCCGTCATCCAGCAGTGCATTGACCGCGGCTGATGACGATGGTGACCGTCATGAAATCGAGCAATGTTCTCACCTCAGCAGTGACGGCCTCCACGCTGCCGTACTTGCGGAAGAACATGTGGTCGGTCTGGATGTAGAGGAGGCACGTGTTCTTGGATGGCGACACCTGGCGCTTTCGCCGTTTCAGGGCCTCGGCCTCGGATTTTGTGAGTTCCCTGGCCTACAGAACGCAGAAGACAGAGTCCCCAAATAGCCTCACACACAACTGTTGCGGAAAGTGCTGTTCGCGAGCGCCTATGGAGGCCAGCACGGCACACGATGGGGTGGGCGGTCAACACCACGCCTGGTCGCCTTTGTTTCCCTAGTGCTGATGTTTACACACCACACTAGGTACTCATGAGAGGCTGTGTCGACCTAGAGGAGGCCCAAAACTGGTTCACATAATCGTCACTAGAGTTAGTCATGAGCGGGAATCATCTCTGATGGCCAAATTCATAGCACTAACCTCGACACGACCGCTCCCCATTACTGCAGAATGCACGCACACACTTCCACCGACAGTAAGACATAGGGTCTAATGCGTCAGTTATCACAGCCAATATTACAATTGATAATTGACTTTTGGGAAAGGCAACATAATGATCTGAGCAAATCTGTGTCCAGAACCCAGCACAGCCAAACAAATGAAATTGTGACAAGTGTGTTTTAAATGCTAAATTCATTATTTCAGCTCACCAGTAAGCTAACGAACAAACCTCTACCCGTCTGTTCGTCCATCTGTTGGGCCGTCCATTTGTCCTTCTGTCCATTTGATCTTCCGTCCGTCCGTCCATCCATTTGTCCTTTTGTCTGTTTGTCCATCCTTCTGTCCGTCTGTCTGTCCGTCCGTCCGTTCCCACCCCACGCTCTCACCTGCTCTTCGGCCACCCATCCCTTGGGCCGCTGGTAGCGCTGCATCTGATCGAAGACCGATTTATTGGCACAGCCGGCGTGCGAGCCAACCTTGTCAGGAAACTCTGTGAGAACAACAATACCCAAAGGGCAAGGCACGCGTATGTATGCAGACAAAGATTCCCCCTATAGCCTTTACAGACTGTTGGGGCAAGTGCTGTTATCGAGCCACACACACGTGACAGACACACACGCTCTTATGAAATATATTCATAATCATTATAATTTACAGACATTTGTCAATCCATTTTTTATTCATCATGCATAATTGATCGTAAGTTGAATGTGGGGAACATAATGTGGGGGTATAGAAGTATGGTACAACAATAGTAGCCATTTAACAATTCACCGATTAAACTTTACTTGTACATCCGTGATACTTTGGCCAAATCGTGCGTCTCACAATGGATGGTTAATGATTTCAGTGAACCATGTTCATTATTTTCTCAAACACCTTTAGGCGAAAGACACCCAAAAGGAAGACGGCATAGGACGGAGAAAGACGTACCGAAACTTTACATACGGGCAAGTTCTGCGACTATAGACGCACACTAAAGTTGTAGCTAAATCATTCAGCACAACCATGAAATGGGATGTTTATGTCATCATAGTATGTCCATCAATTAGGAATGTGTGATTCACAGAGATGTAATGGGTCCAGCATTCTTTTACAAGGGAGAAATTCTCATAAAATACCCATGGTATTGGATGCGCTTGGACAAAACTGATGGTGATGGCGAGTTCGGTCTTTTTGTTTGCATCGAACTAACAACCGATTCTGTAAATAAGCCTTATACTCCAAAATTATAATCACCTTCACAATTACACCCCTAGCATATTAAGGCGATTTAAACATTGTATTGTGAGATTACCTCATTTGTGGAACTGTCTATAAAACATTCATAACATGGCCTTTGTCAATCCGCTGTTGGAAGGCCTCCCCACGCCGTGTCTGTCATAGCGGTTGGTCAACCATATTTCACTATGATGGTCCGTGTGGTACGGTGAAGTCAAAATCATGCTTTCTGTATTAAGTGTCTTCATCGGTTCATCTGTTTGTTAATTAGTGCGACCATCAGTTTGTCTATCTCCCAGTGAGTTCGTCCTTCTGCTTGTGTGTCCGAAGAAACATTGATAATCAAACCCACAGTCCAGAACAATTCTTTAAAATAAACACACATTAGGACAACCGCCACAATATTAAATTTAAATATGGCAACTGAGATTCTAATCTAAGTCAAACTGAATTAAGAGGCTAATTTTAGACTGCTATTTTTACAAACCGATTGCATCCCACACGCATGCTCCTGCTTGTTTGCATGTTGCCAGTTACTACACTTAGGAAAAAGCAAAAGGCTCAGCAAGAGGGAGCGGGTTAGTTTTGATCTGTACGTCCTCAAATTTATGACCGCCCCTCGCAGTACAGCGATATGAAAATCACATGGGAAGGAGACTGAAGTAAATCATAAAAATTCATAACTGGACTCAAACACCATGTCGCACATTCAAGTCCAAGGGGTGTACAACAACATTCTTATAAATAATTCCCAAATTCACAGGGGAACGCGCGATAGCTCTGCTGTGAAGTCACACATACCAGCAGCAGCACCAGCAGCATCATCAGTGCCAGTGTGACATTGATGCAAAGCAGGTTGGTGTCTAAAAACTTAATTTGAAGCTTTCGTGACTGCAGGAATTACTCTTTGGTTCTTTCGGTAAAGTCACGTAGAAAGTTATGTCTCTCTCTCTGCTTGTGTGTCTGTCTGTGTGTCTCTGTGTCTATGTTGTGTCTTTCTCTGTGTGTCTTTGTGATGTCTCTCTCTGCTTGTGTTTCTCTCTGTGTGTCTCCGTGTCTGTGTTTTGTCTCTCTCTCAAATTTAGTTCTACCCGATGACGATTGCTTGTGTTGCAATCGAAACGTCGTACTCTATTATTTAATTTATTTTCTTTCTACGTGACTTTACCGAAAGAGGTTGGTGTCTCTCCAGTCTCTGATGATAGCTCAGCCAAGAGGAAACAAGCACACAAAGTGCCATCGTTTTTTCCTCCAATTAATTATATTCTGATTGTTGTGCTAATAGCATCACGGGACAAATAATCCATTTGTAACTCTCACAGAGCAATGAGACTTTACCTGCTCGGGAACGACCCATGAAAGTGGATATCACAGAGCTCCCAACGAGATCCCTACAAATGACTGCTGGTTCACACAGTAAGGTGGCAGACTTATCCTACCCATCCTGACACCAAACCGTTTATCACATGCCAGTAAATTTAGCTGAATTAAGTGCAGATCCAATTTTAATGTAATAGCATTTATGTTTTATACAGGCGGCTGTCTGGATTCAAACCCAGGTTCTCAGTGATGTCAGCTCGGCGTCTGACATCTGAATCACTCAGCCAGTTTTTAAAAAAGAAACCAAAAGAACACGAGGGATTGTCTTTTTTTTTAAATAGGGAAGTCAAACGCAGTTTGTTTTGCGAGTTCTCAGAAAAGGCTGATGCTCTGTGCAACATTGTTTTGGTAAATACTGAGACTACAGAACTGACTGGAACAAACCCCACAACAAACGCTTGCCAAATTCTCTCTCCACCACACTCACCCCTCTCTATACAACGCTCATCACCTCTCTCTCCACCACGCTCACCCCTTTCTATGCAACGCTCACCACCTCTCTCCACCACATTCAACCCCTTCTTCCTTCACCACACTCATGTGATGGGCCATTCAAAACTAAACACGGAGTGTGGCAGACAAAGTAGGGAACACGCCTGACGAGCATTACTGTGGAGGAAGGTGGTGGTGGTAATCCGGCCATAGCTGCAGCAGACAGCCAGTTCGAACGGCGCAATAGCCGCAGCAGTGGCGGCCGTAGCGGTGGGCACCCACCGACATCGTCCTGGTGGTAGATGACGGAGTGGAAGGGCATGCTGCCGCGCGCCGCGTAGCGCTCCGACGGCTCCACGTGATAGGTGCCATGCCGCGTGCTGATGAAGCCCTCGAAGCGCCCGCTGTGCACGCTGCCGTAGCAGAACGAGTCGCTCTCTCCTGCGAGGTGGGGGGGGGAGCGGGGGGTGGGGGGCAGCAATGGCAGTGGGACGGGTGGGGGGGTGAGAGGGTAAAGGTCAGGGCGTCGGGGTCGGGGAAACGGGGGCAGCAGTGCCGCACGCTCGCGTACGTTCGCCGTCGCGTGGCCTGAGCGAGCCGGCATCGTTGCCGTGCGGGACAGAGGTTAAAGTTCAAGAGCACAAGTTTAAACCTGGCGTGGTGCCTCTCTCGAGGCTGTAGAACAACTACTGCTTTGCGGGGTTTTTAGTTCGCGCTCTCGTGTGTTTCTGGATTGTGCCAGCGTGTTTCAGTCCGCGTGCCGGAAGCTTCTTCAGTTCTGTTCCCACTACGGTCAGTTATGTTCCTGAAGAAGCCCCTGGCACATGCAGCGAAACGTCGGACACCGCGCCGAACAACACGCCAGTACGATCCGGGAACGCATCGAGAGAACTGTGCAGCATAAGCGCAGCACTATAGTCCTTGCCACATGAATGTGGAATCTCCACTGTGGCCGAGAGCCACCAAAGGAGGCTGAGGGCCATCCAATGCTCAGTGAAGCGTGGAGACAGTGGCCTTTTAACTTAAAAACAGAATCACATCGAGTGGACTAATGTTGCAGGAAATGTCTGTTTATATACTGAAAAAAGCCAATTGCCTAAAACCGAAGCCTAATCTGTATTATCTGAGCTGGAGCAGTGTTAACGATAACATATCCTCACAGAAACTTGAGACTGTTGCAGAGGAGTCTGAATAAAATGGGATGTTTGGCCAATTCCATAATCAAGGAGTGTTTGGGTGTGGCCAATTCCATTATGCGTTCGGGATTAAACAAAAGTACGAGGGGGACACCTACTGCTCATGCAAGGGGATGACACAGACACATTCACAAAGATGGATTCAAGAACCCTTTCGCTCTCCTGCCACCTCGTGGCCACCTCGCTTGAGCCAGTGATGCGCAGCCGGTGCAATTTGCAAACAAAGCTCCCTCCCTAAGCTCTCTAATGTGTGTTCAGGTTGATTCTGGGTTCTTGTTCGGCATGATATTTGACTTTCTTCACTCCATAGGCTGGGAGTTTCTTCCAATTGGGAGTTTTCGGAACCGAACCGTCCGTTTCCTGAAGAAACTCCCCAGACGTGGAGAAAAATCGTCCTTCATCTCACCCAGCGGCACGAGGAACGCAACCTGAAAACGCTCGTCGGAGAGCCGTCGAGCAGTGGCTCTCAACCACTGCTCTAAAAAAAAGAATTAGTTTTAGTTTAGTTATTTTGGATGCTGTACCCCCTTGTTGAATTGTTTCAAGCGGGGTACCCCCTCGCGTGACCCAACATGGTTTTGAGAAATAAATGTATGAAATAATGAACATCAATATTTTAACCGATTGTCCATTTTGTGAGGTATCTTAACGAGCTGCTAGCAACTGCAAGCGAATAAAACTAAATTCAACGGACGTTCTGCACGCATGACGTCACTTGTTAGCTGGTTACTCTTGAAAACCACATTGTTTACGATCAATGAGTTTAGAAAGGTATTTTATATCGCTCGTAGTTACCATACGGATTTAAATTCTATTGTAGTTATTTTATATTGGCAGATTCATACATAATTATTCACCAATGACTCATGTATGATATAATTTCACAACATTTATAAATCAACTCACGTACCCCCAGGGGTCCCCATACCCCAAGTTGAGAACCACTGCCGTAGACCAAAGATCCCCGTATATCCTATAACAGACTGTTGGGACAAGTGCTGTTAGCGAGCATCGATGAAGGCCGGCACACCACACGAGGGGGTGGGCGGCCAGCACCATGCCCGGACGTCTTTGTCTCCCTAGCGCCAATGTTTACACACCGCACCAGGTGCTCATTTGAGGCCAAGTCGACCTAGGGGAGACCAATGACCGGTTCCGATAATAGTCACTGGTGTTGGCCGTGAGCAGGAATCGAACTCGGGTCTCTTAGTTCATAGCTCAGCACGCTAACCGCTGCACCGCCACTCCCCGCACATACAGAAACACAGCCGTTGAGCACAACAGCTTTAACATGCGCAGGAAGAGCATCTTAAATTCTATTTGAATTCCCCACTTCACGGCTAATGGGGTCGTGCCCTCTTACTGCCGGGCGTGGAGGCGTCGCAACGCCGGTGGCAGTCGCTGGGGCGTGCGTGGGATGGGGGGACCTGCGGTACACGGCACCCCAAGGCCGCTGTAAATCTCACCGTGCTGCTACGTGAAAGAAAGATGCACCGAGCCACAACGGCGTTACTCTTTCTGGAGTGTGGAAACCAAAATAACCATCATCATAGTCATCATCATCGTCGTCATCATTGTCGTCAGTGTGAAATTCCACATTGATTATATTACTCAAGGTGCAACAATGGATCTGGTCGTCGATCAGCATTGAATTGTGTGCAAAAGAACCCGCAACGAGTTAGCACCTCCAGTGGCTGCCAGGACAATGCAATGTGCACTACAACAAACATACACAGATCCTTCAATCGTGAAAAATGATCGAGGTGCATACCGTATGTCGGTTGTAACAGGATTAAAATTAACCCTAATGGCTGCTACAAATGTTTCAAGTTATATAACCAAATCGTGAACGTGAATCGAGAAAATTTATTAAATTGTTTGGGTACGAGGGGGTGAATTGTTACGCCTCTAATGTTCACCAAAAGTGCCTGGCTGTAAGTGAAACTAATTGTAGAATAAAAGGCTGTGTTCCAAATCTGCTGTTATGAGAATTCGTATCATCAGCAGAGCTATGCTCATTGACAGGTTCCTTCCCTATAAACATCAGGCAGTTCACCAGCATTGCTTCAAGCACGCCCGACTTCGCTGGTGAGATCCTGAATGTCGAAACCGGTCAAGTGTGTGCTTGTCTTGAATCAATTCTGCTGAAATTACGGACTCCCAGAAGGCCGTGTTGGCTGATGGGATGTGTAAAAAAAATATTTTTGTGTAGAGGGACAGATATGTGAAGGTGTATTGTCTGCTTATTTTTTTTGGTTATTTTATTTTATTACACTGAAACTCTCCACAACTACAAAAAATATTATTTTGTGTTATGTTCAGAGCTGATTGGACAAGGTCCGACCCAACCCCTACTGTGAGCCTACCTTCTTATTAACACAAGCTTAAGTTGGATGGCCCAGCACAGATGCTCTTGCTGTGTATCTACAAGAGCTGTTTGTTTTTTGAGTGGCGTCTAAAGTAAAGTAATCTTCCTCGTAAACTTACACGGCCCTGCAAGACAAGCCGAGGCGGCTTATCACGAACGCTGCTTTGCGCGACCGGACAACTGGTGCCCACAGACTCGGAACGTATTTTGTTGTAAAAAAAAAAATCCGACGAAAATATTAGTCAACGGATTCTTCTCATTCAATTGATGATACTTACGAGTGGATGAAAATCACCAAGCATCACAATGACTATGCCTGTGACGAGATGAGCCCAACGAGTCTGAATGACAACGCAGAATGAGAAAATTTGGTGCGCTTAGGAAGACCAAACATTGGCTATCTATATTCATAAGCACACTTTTCACGAATTCGAGGATTGACAATGTCGAGGGCTGCTGGCCATGTCCAGAGGGCTTCAGAAAAGAGTTTGTGTCGCGTTACTGTTCCTCCTTTGTTGAAGGAGTGTAGACCACAGTGGTTTACTAACACATTCCTGCGGAGGGAGCTGGTAGGAACGTTGGGTTGCTCGGTCAATGGCCAGGGTCAACGGCGGAGGGGTGTATTCCGCAAATATGCCCGACTGTGAGGGCAGGCACAAGCCGGCCTGAGTAGGTTAAACGTTGAGTTTTGTAAGGGCACCACGGGGTGACCAGCCCCTCCCCACCCAGCCCCTCCCCACCCTCCCCACCCAGCCCCTCCCCATCCGCCCCACCCAGCCCCTCCCCACCCTCCCTCCCCACCCAGACCCTCCCCACCCTTCCCATTTTTGGATGCACGACGGACGGACACAATAATCCCCTGTGGACTGGTGGAACCACGAGGTTCCTACCAGTATAAGGGACTATAGTTTGGGTTTCATGGCCACAATCGCACTATTGTGGCTCGTCTTTAATGTTCCATTTCTTAAGGAGATGTGTTGATCGGCCTTGTGAGGATGTTCTTATGAGGTTAATGCCGAAGAGTATTTGACTAAAGGTTTGGCTGGATTAGACGACGAGACTAATCGAATAACATCCACAGTTTAAGAAGTGACTAACATTTCACAGGTTTGTCGTCTGGACGAAGACTGCGATAACAATTTCGAACACTGTGCAGACTGCATAGAACTATCGTCAACATCTATTAATTTAGATTCATTAAAAAAACTGAGACAAGAACACTTGTAATTAGAACATAACCGGGAGCAGCTCGTGGAATTGGCAGGAGACTGGCTGCAATATTTTATTTATAGAAGAAGACGTATCATGCCGTTTAAACACCCCGATTCTTGAACTGCGGCTGCGCTAAGAATATGAAAGTGACGGGAAATTGTAACGCGAAACAATCTCTTTGCACATGACCTGAACTTCTCTCTTGATACTGAAATCTTGGACCTCCTTCCACAAACGTTCGTTCCTCTTTTATCAACACAGCCACACACATTGCTCCTGCTGCTGCTGCTCCTCCTCCTCGCGTTTTTAACATCGGCATTCACACGATGACGTTGACAGCCATCCCACTCCACATATCGTTTACTCAGTGCATCCTTTCCACGGCGAGTCGGAACCGCGCTGGTCTAGTCCTGCTCCTGTTCCACATATCGGGCTTGGCCTAAGAACTCAAGACTCTCAAAGGAATACAAGTCGACTAAACAATGTGGATTTACACGACATCTAAATGCGACCGCATCTCAAGGCGATGCATAGAAACAGTGGGCGCATTTCATTTCATAGAGAGAGAGAGAGAAAAAATCAGTCATAGGCAGCGGATAAAGGTCTTTAGCCTGGACTAGCCAAATCCTGGATTTTATCAGGGCTGTTCGGATGTTACTTCTGAAAAGTGAAAAAAATTCCCAAGATGATCAAAGAGAACAAAAACATCTGAATCAAGGCAATTTTGGCAGCCTGCCCTAGGCCACAAATACAAGTCCCATGCACACCCAACAATCCAAATGTATGATCTGTTCCCACAAGGGAAATTGTTTAGCCCCATCTAAATATATTATCGGACACTCTGTGAAACACTCTATGCTACACTCTCCAAAATCTAATTAAAAACCACTTTGTCACTGTTCAATTAACAATTATTATAAGAGGTCAACGGGCAGTGGCATTTGCCAATTAAGGTGAGAACATGCATTGACTTGAACAACGAATAACAGCTCCTGATTAATTAGTGTCATTAACTACAAGTGCAATTATTCAAAGCACGCTGTCTCGCCCAATCAAAAAGCTACCCAGCCCCCCCCCACTCCAATCACCATCCACACACAGCATTTAGATGCCCTCTCGTGTCACCAACGAGGTGTTGCCTTCATATTTGCCAGTGCGGCGATGGCCATGCCTTTTTGTCATTATCGAAGCTTCAGTCTCATGCGGGACAGCCCAGGACATAAAACCCACGTGGGCAGCTGCTCGATAAGGGCTGCTCGTTTTGCTCCTTCGTTTAACCGCAGCTGGCCGTAGCTAGACTGGTTTCTCGGGCGTGATGGCAAGTGGCGGCGAGTTGAAGCCCTCAACACGGCCACCAACGACTGCACGCAAGAAAACCAAAATGTATAAAATTTGGTGCTGCATGTAATTTAGCTGAAGTCAAGATCTGAGAATGAAAAATATTTACTTGACTGTCATGCACCAAACATTACTTACTATGACAGGGTAGATGGGGAATTGCTGCGTTAGGACGTGTGAACTCAAGCTCACTTAAAGGGATCTCAAAAGTAGTTTTGTGATATCTGCTTCCGTGGGCCGTTCTCAAACACCAAGGGTTGCACTGGCTCTGAATGGATACCTCGCTTGATGAAACGACAGCACGATAGCGCGACTAGGATGCAACTAGGAGAGCAGACAAAAACACCAAAAAGAAAAAGCATGCATATGCGTGGATTCTGCAAAACTTTTAAACATGCGTCCTTGGAAGTGTGTGATGTCCCATAACATCATACATCATCGTCTTTGGCGACGGACAAGGCTTGTATGTATGTTGAACTTCGTTCGCACCGTACGTAGCCAACCGTGCTTACCCATAAGGTGCCGTTTGAACCACCAAATTTTGGGCAACCCTTCTGTAAATTTGTCCGGCTTTCTATCGGGCGAGTCCCGAATAGCAAAGCAAGTGTCAACTAAACTTCCGTGCGTATTCGATCACCTTCACAAGAGTTATCGTGACCTTCTCACACAGGCTATAGACAAAGGACAGGCAATGGACGGTGACATTGCCGTTGCCACCGCCACCACCACGGGGATGTGGGGGGGAGCCGCACCGTGGAGTTTCCCGGCGTAGATGTGCGACGTGTCGTCGTGCCGCTCGCCCGTCGGCAGCTCCACGAAGAAGTCGTCCGAGAAGATCGACGCGTCCCGCTTCATGCGCAAGTTGAACTGCCTGCTCCGCCACGGGGGTTGAGATACATGCGAAGATAAAGAGAACAATTCCACCTTATAAGCCTTTGCAGACCGGCGGGGCAAGTGCTGCTTGCGAGTGGCACCTTTGAAGGTCGATACGGCACACGAGGGGGTGGGGAATGGCTAGCATCACGCCTGGCTGCCTTTGTCTCCCCCAGTGCTGATGTTTTCTACACACTGCACGAGGTAGACATTTAAGGCTGAGTCGACCTAGGGGAGGCCCAGGACCGATTCAAATATTCACCGTTGTTGTTGGTCGGGAGCGTGAATCGAAATCAGGTCGTTGGGTTTGTAGTACGGTGCGCTAACCAATATACCACCACTACCCACATGCACACGCACGCAGACACACGCACATACGGGCAAGCGAAGGTGGAAAATATGCACACACGCATGCGTACAAACATGCAAACGCACGTGTGAGTGTACACATACATGGTCATGCAAACACACACATGCATAAACGCACATGCAAGACACAAACACATTTAGACACGCACACATGCACAGATGCACACATGCAGTCACACGCATGTAGAGATGCAGACATGGACACGCACGCACAAGGACACACACAGAGACAAACAGGCGGACAGACCATCACACATTAATGGTTACATCAGAACAAACGATTTTCATAATTGTTTCCATTTGGTGCTCTTGAACAAAACAGTGCATCACCATGTGCCAGACATCTGCTTTTGGAGGATGACATCACAGAACTATTTCCAAGATCCCTTAAATTGCCTCTTATCATACTCTCTCCCTCGCCCTGCTTTGTAAATGTTCGTTGCGTGGTAGTCAGGCATGTATTTTTAATTGTCAGAGCTAGAACACGCCAAATTAACGTGGCTGAGTGGTAGCGCGTTCGCCGCTTATTGCAAAGATTTGTGGTTCGATTCTAGCGGCCACCGTGAATAATACTGCGGGAAAAATAATCTCTAAAATACTATGCGTCCTACTGCTTCACAGCTGCGTTAAAAATCACCGTGACGTAATTCGCACGAGTGGTGTCCCGGCGTCCCACTCCAAATAAAAAAAAAATACCCAAAAATTACTCAATTGGTGGCGAGATGTCACCTTCCTCGCCAGGTATACAGGAGGTCGTGGGTTCGATCCCGACCCCGACGGTTATATATTTGGAGTTTGCATTTTTTCTCCGTGGACACAAGTATTTTTCTCCGGGTCCTCCTGTTTTTCCCTCTACATTTAGAAACATGCATTCAGATTATTTAGCTGTTATAAATTTACACATAAGCCACTTTGTTGAGCTATCATTGGTGGCCAGGTTGCTTCTGAAAAAGAGCCAGAAAGCTTCGTGTGTTTTACCTGTTAAATAAAAAATAGTTCAGTTTACATTGCAATCGTCGGCCCTCAATGCAAAAACTTGGCAGGACCCTAACAAACAGTCTTGAGACTCACCATTGGAACCTCATTTGCCAGTAAAAAAATATGATAATTGGTTTTTTACCCTTTTATCTGGCAACAAAACTGACACCTTTTTTACGAGCAGTCATATTTGCATAGATCACAATACCTACAGTCATAATGCAAAAAAAAACATAACTCTGATAATCAGTTTAACACGTAGGCTTTCGCGACCAATGTTATTCATAATCAACGTTTTTGGGTTTAGATCGCGTTATTTATAAATGTGTCGTAACCCTCCACCACCCGACACGGCCAATCAGTAAAAATGTGTCACGTTGACAAAGACAAATAGTTCACTGCTTTAGCCCACCGGTGTGTTGAAGCCACAACATTTACAATTTGAGTACGACGTTTCGCTGGTAATTGCAACCAGCATCATCGGGCAATTCGCCAGAATAGTGAGGCTCTGCTGTCTCCCGTTCTTATATAGAGCAGCAGCAGGGTGACGTCATCATTAACTCATCAACTCATCAGGTGCAAAGATTCAAGGGGGGAGTGATTGTAATTATATACTAGATTAGTAATCAGGCTATTGTTACGATGCGAGTTGTAGATTAGTAATCATTTGGAATGTGTTTTATTGTGATTATGCTACATTAGTAATCAGTTAGTGGTTGTTTCCCTTATAAGGAATTGTAATGTATCTTATTTAATAATACGCTTCCAGGCCGCACTAAGCCTGTAGCTGTCTGAGCGATTAAAGTTATTTCTGTTTCTCTCAATTTCAATCGATTCTCTAATTAGTCTTTGCCAGTAGTAACTAGTTTTACACAACACTTCCACGTTGTCAAAATCAATTCAGTGTCCCTGTTGGCATGCATGTTCTGCTACTGCCGACAGTTGTGTTTGTGATAGTTTAATATTTCTCTGGTGTTCTTTTAGTCTTACACTAACGTTACGCCCTGTCTGTCCAATATAGCATCTGCCACATACACAATTAATCCGATATACACCTTCTGTTGATAATTTAGGTAATTCGTCTTTAGTGCACGTTACTAGTTGTTGAATTTTGTGTACTGTACCAAATCTTACTGTAATGTTTTGCTTTTGCAAAACACGGGCTAATTTATCAGTTACTCCTGAGATAAATGGTATTTTTATTGTTTTAATAATCTGATCGCTTTCAGCAGTGTTGCTTTGCGATCATGATTTGGCTTTTAGTGCTCCGTTAATTTGAACATTATTGTAGCCATTCTGTCTTAGTGCTTCTTTAACATGTTTAATCTCTCTCACTAGACTTTCACCATCTGACACTGTTTTAGCCCGATGTATGAGCGTCTTGATAAGAGAGGATTTCTGAGCTGGGTGATGATGCGAATCTGCATTCAGATAGGCATCAGTGTGCGTTTGCTTTCTGTAAACGCTGTGTGTTATTTTACCGTTTGGGCCGTGCCCAATAACATATTTTACCGTTTGGGCCGTGCCCAATAACACACAGCGTTTACAGAAAGCAAACGCACACTGATGCCTATCTGAATGCAGATTCGCATCATCACCCAGCTCAGAAATCCTCTCTTATCAAGACGCTCATACATCGGGCTAAAACAGTGTCAGATGGTGAAAGTCTAGTGAGAGAGATTAAACATGTTAAAGAAGCACTAAGACAGAATGGCTACAATAATGCTCAAATTAACAGAGCACTAAAAGCCAAATCACGATCGCAAAGCAACACTGCTGAAAGCGATCAGATTATTAAAACAATAAAAATACATTTATCTCAGGAGTAACTGATAAATTAGCCCGTGTTTTGCAAAAGCAAAACATTACAGTAAGATTTGGTACAGTACACAAAATTCAACAACTAGTAACGTGCACTAAAGACGAATTACCTAAATTATCAACAGAAGGTGTATATCGGATTAATTGTGTATGTGGCAGATGCTATATTGGACAGACAGGGCGTAACGTTAGTGTAAGACTAAAAGAACACCAGAGAAATATTAAACTATCACAAACACAACTGTCGGCAGTAGCAGAACATGCATGCCAACAGGGACACTGAATTGATTTTGACAACGTGGAAGTGTTGTGTAAAACTAGTTACTACTGGCAAAGACTAATTAGAGAATCGATTGAAATTGAGAGAAACAGAAATAACTTTAATCGCTCAGACAGCTACAGGCTTAGTGCGGCCTGGAAGCGTATTATTAAATAAGATACATTACAATTCCTTATAAGGGAAACAACCACTAACTGATTACTAATGTAGCATAATCACAATAAAACACATTCCAAATGATTACTAATCTACAACTCGCATCGTAACAATAGCCTGATTACTAATCTAGTATATAATTACAATCACTCCCCCCTTGAATCTTTGCACCTGATGAGTTGATGAGTTAATGATGACGTCACCCTGCTGCTGCTCTATATAAGAACGGGAGACAGCAGAGCCTCACCATTCTGGCGAATTGCCCGATGATGCTGGTTGCAATTACCAGCGAAACGTCGTACTCAAATTGTAAATGTTGTGGCTTCAACACACCGGTGGGCTAAAGCAGTGAACTATTTGTCTTTGTCAACGTGACACATTTTTACTGATTGGCCGTGTCGGGTGGTGGAGGGTTACGACACATTTATAAATAACGCGATCTAAACCCAAAAACGTTGATTATGAATAACTCTGATAATGTCTGCACTGTCCTTGAAGGTGATTGGTCCACACCCGAGACAGCTTTCCTTAGAGCCTAGTCTCACATGGGTTGGACCAGATGACGCCAAAAGGCACACAACTCAAAGACAATGCACCATCAGAGTATGAGAGCTCGGGGTAAGCATTTACACCATTGGTACCTCATTTGCCAGTAAAAAATATGATAATTGGCTTTTTACCCTTTTATTGGCAACAAAACTGACACCTTTTTTACGAGGAGTCATGTTTGCATAGACCACAATACCTGCAGTCATAATGCAAAAGGACAGTGCAGACATCAGAATTATGTTTTTTTTTGCATTATGAATACAGGTATTGTGGTCTATGCAAACATGACTCCTCGTAAACAAGGTGTCAGTTTTGTTGATAAAAGGGTAAAAAACCAATTATCAGTCTTGAGACTCATTGAGGCTTTCCTGGATTAAAAAAGTGGAATAAATGGGAAAATAAAAAAGTACACTGATTATTTAATCGTGCAATTACTTGTGACAGGGCTTAGACCGTCGGCTCACTACACTTCAGACTTGCGGTTGAAAGCTGCACTCAGTGGTTACATTTTTTTCAGCGATTACCAACTCGGCACCCAGGGGGATTCCGAACAAACCAGCTACCTCTACCTGTTAACCTCTCTCTCCTTTCACTCTCACACAGAGCAAAGGTTCTCACTGATCGATGATGCAGGGCAAAGGCCGGCATTAAGAGACATGGGGTTGTAGTAATTGCTTGCACGGGTATTTACTTTCCCTTGCTCGGTAGGGCTCAGGGTAAGAATGAATGAGCGGGGGGCGGCCCGAACTGTGACGGCACTGCGTGTGCAGTGATTCATCGAGTTGGCTGGAACTTACGCTCACGATGTGTGCATAGAATCATGCGTGTGAGAATCTATACATGAC